TTTATCGCGAGTTTCTCAACTCGCGGATTAAGCAGATCTCGAGCCCGCGTAAGGGGTGCTTTTGCAATTAGCAGAAAGTGTGGAAGCAGAGGCATTTAATAAACAACTTCACTCGCGTCGGCCTTACTAATGACTAGTGTCCGTGATTCTCTCAAATAGCACATTTCAGCACGTTTGAGATTATAACACGCCGTAGTAATAGTTTTATGTCAGCCATGCTTCTCCTGCCAATGCTCGTTCCTGCAACGCGCCGAACGTGTATAAATATTAACGATGAGGCTGAGAACGGCTGCGCCGTCGCGCCGTCGCGCCTTCGCGTTTTCCCCGCGTTGTCCCCGCGAAAATTCCCTTCAAATCGACCGTATGTCTTGCGTATCTTTCGAGATGGCATCTTCGAGGCGAGAAGGTGGAGGAGGTGAAAATATGAATGCCGCTGGCGGAGCGACATCCGACGAGAACAAAAGTGATTTAGCCGTGAACACACACACGCGACCCCGAGGAACGCGGGGGGATGAAGGTGGCTTACTACACGGTGCGCCGACGGGGGCGCGATATTTCGCCGCGTTGAAACTCACCGGGGCCACATTTCTCTTGATTTAGCGAAACAATCCGAGCATCAGAATTTCAGATATGGCGCCTGAGCGTCTCTCACAGCTACAAGCCCCGCGCAAGAGTTCCCACTCCCCATACTCGGGATAACCTGCGAGAGAATCTTTCGCGAATTAGCTCACGAAAGATCCTTTTTCTTCCTTCGCCTATCCCCCCGCCTATCCTTTGTCCTGCCCCGGAGGAAAGATTGCGCGCAGTTTGTTTGGCGAAGGGCCGCGAGCTCTGTCGGGACGCTCTTTGACATTGACGTTCTCATACATGTGCGTTCAATTACCTAGATTACTCGAGTTCCGGTTCAGCGACAACATTCTACGCAAATAAGCCATAAAACAGAGCTCCTCTCCTCTGACACTGAAATGCTTTTCGAAAATTTTCCTCCTATCCCCCGTACACCGACAGAAAAGTATATGATATTTGGAACTATAATGACACAGTAATTAAATTATAGTCCGAAATATCATATTTATTACATTTAGTAAGTACTGCCATAATATCGGTAATAATTACGATACAGGCATATAATATTTTTATAGTATAACCAACCATATAATATTTTTACTAAGAATTATAGTAAGTTAAACTAAAATTATTGTATGAATGCAAATATAAAGTGGTAGGTAAAAGTAACTCTTTTATATAGTCAATATTACCGGAATATTTGCTAAATGATGACAGATGTAACTGTATACGAATATTAAATCTCACTATATTTGTGAATGAGAAATTACCATATATGTGATAAAAGTAACTGAACAATTATTTAAGACAATCATCGACTATATATTTGTGCTTATTCTACTTTCTATTTTGCAGGTTTCCACCAACAATAAAATAAAATATGGTTGACGCCAAAATGAACTATAAAATATAGTGAGATTATAGTTAATTCAACTATATTTCTCCATCAGTGTATATTGTCCTATATTTGTTTGTTGAACGCTGCTGGAGGGATCAGGGATGTTTGGAGTCGTATTAATTTTCTACTTGTCTCACACACGCGCATATTGCGCAATCTGTCTCACTAATATCTTCATCCCAGTCTTCTTTCGACGCGCTACGATTTGTTGAACGAATTGATGTGTTTCGGCGAGCTGTCCCGATTAAGGGCAGATTCGTAATATCGTCGATCGCCGCGTGAGGGATTGCGGACCATTGAGCAGCCGCCTTCCGTGAAAATAATGATCCAATGCCCCCGGGGTCCTTTCGAGGACTGTTCGTCGTGCCATAATTTCAGTACCCTCGATATCTTCTGCTATCTTCGTCGGCCGTCTAGCAGAGGGCCGCGACAGAGAGAGAGAGAGAGAGAGGAAGGAAAAAAGAGGAAGAGAGAGAGAGAGAGAGACGCGCATCTGCGATACAATCCCCTGAATATCCGCTGTCGTGGAAGGACTTTGTTAAGAAGGCGCCCACAGCGCGTTCGACAATGCTTCGCGTTCTCCGCGCCTCTCGAGTGCGAACTTCTCCTTTTATTCGGCGGAACGTCGCATTCGGATGTTTCTGCAAACACCGTTCGGAGCAGCCGTCTCGCGTTTTTCAAGACGCGATGATCGAAGGCTCCTCTCCTAAATTTTTCTCCGGTCCGGTTTTCTCGTCGATCGCGCGCGCAGACGTCGTCTTTGGAACTACGGCCGCTATCAAAGGGGGTGATTTATCACACGCGCGAGTCGATCGGCATGATAGATAGAAGTGCGCTTGATCGAGACGAGGATCTCTCTCCTCGCTGGATTCAGCCGTTTACGTCTAATGGCGTCACCCGAGATTACGATGCACCGGGCCGATAGCCAGAACGATCGGAATGGAATTCCACGAGCTTCAAGCGGCCGGAATCCTCCCCGTTCTCTCTCTCTCTCTCTTTCTCTCTTTTTCTTTTCCTCTCTCTCTCTCTCCCTCTCTCGCCAGGATCTTCATCAAGCTGACGATGTCGAACTCGCGCGTCTGTAAGAAAGTAACTACGGCACGAGCGCGTACGTCGCGTGCTTAGAATTCGCGCCGAGCGCTGTCCGAAGCTCGAGGATGAGCGAGAAAGAGACGAGAGAGAGAGAGAGAGAGAGAGAGGGAGAGATGATTCGAACGTGACGGCGAGCGAGTCTGCGAAATCGATTTGTCTCGACGGCGATATGACCGAGCGCCGATCGAATTCTCTTTCTACCCGACCCCTCCCCCCTCGTGGGTTTTCTCTCTTCCCCGCTGATCGGGAGCAGATTTCGCGAGACCGGCGCGGGCGGCGCACTTCCTCGCAGCTTCGCGACGTCGCGGATTTCCAGCCGCGAGAACTGTGCAATCCCGCGGAATTTGTCGCGCCCTTCTCGGCTGCATGCCTTCGTGAAGTGGATTGACGTTTGACCGCGTGGCGCGTTCCAAATTCTGCGACGTGTCTGCGGATCAAACGTTAATTGCGCACAAACGTATCCTCCGCGTCCTTCGGAGCCGTCCGCACGTGCCGTTTTCTGACGGCGCACTAGAGTCGCTCAAGGTCGCGATAATTCGCAAGGGGAAAGGCAGAAACACAGGATCCTCTCTTGTGTGCACGAGCGACAGCTGGGAAGCAGGCGGTCAGGCATGCGGGGCCCAAGGTCTCTCTCTCCTAAAGGGCCCCTATTACGCGCCGACACGCATACCCACATACGTACACACACACACACACACACACACACGGGCATTTACATACGATCCTGCCGGACAAAGAAGCGAGATGATGCCCCCCGCTCGACCTTCCGGCGAATTCGCACACGTGTACGTATATAGGTCAAACTACGCCGCGGAACTAGTTCGCTCGCCGGCTTTAAATAAAGGAGCGCGCCGCCGCGCGCAGCGGGTCATTATAACTTTTATTTCGTCTTGCGTCTTTTCCGAGCGTGCTGAAAGGAATTCGGAGGAGAAGGAGGAACCGTTTTCGAGGATCCGTCGCACCGAGCGCTACGAAATTGAAAATACACGCCGCCGCCACCGTCACGTGCTTGACCTCGTGCTCGGCGCTGAATGAGCGAACGCGATTCGCGGCGGTTTTACTACCTCCCTCCCTCCCCCTGTGATGTATCACCCTCTTGCGCGTGACAATTAACTCGTGCTAATCAACGATTGCGCTTGGCTGAGACACGCGCGCGCGCGCGCGCGCTCAGGCTAATTTCGGCTTTTGAAAATCCTCGCGGCGGCCACGCAAAGTTCCGACGTAGTCGGTATCGCGCGCGCGAGAAAGAGAGAGAGAGAGAGAGAGAGAGAGAAGCACTAGATCTTTGTTCCTCCTGACAAATGCGAGGATACGCCTGTACGGGGCGGACGCCTAATTTAGCATCCGTGATTTTTGCTCGCGCCCCCACGAGAAATGTTCCGTCGGAGGGTGAAGCGGAGAGAGGAAAGAAAGAGAGAGAGAGAGAGAGAGACTGGTCGATGAATCTATACACACGCGTGTATAAGCTCTTTCCGTATGACGTATAGCTGTGATTACCCTGATGTAGATCCGTCCGTCCATCCTGCCCCGATAACGCATCGGGAATACGTACAGGCCCTTTTCTTCTCTCTCCTCTCCTTCTCTTTCTCCTTCTATCGGCGAACGCATCGATCATCGTTGCGCCCACGATTTTTCATCCGAGTCCCTTTACGAAAAAAGAAAAGGAGAAAAATAAAAAGCCCGTCGAGATTGAAAAGCCATTCCGCCGTCTGGGAATGCGAAACGATGCTTTCCGCTGGGCGCATCAACGCGCGTTGTTATCATCGGAATCCCTTCCGGAGGAGGTGGTCTCGATTACAAATACACAATCAGGGTACATGATTGCGAAGCTAATATCTCACGAGACAGGAAGGTAGAGAAAAAGCCCTGACGAAATTGCGTTTGTGCTCGCGCGAGGGAAAGAACTGTGGCGTCGCCGCGATTACCGCGAGAACACGTGCACGTTTCACCTGACCTGCTATTCTTGAAGAATTAAACTCACCGTTGGGTTTTACTTTGTCAAGGATCGCTCGTGTCGGCGATTTGAAAGAAGCAAAGAGAGAAAATTAAATCACGTGTGACATCGAGCTCTGCGACACGAAAGAAAGTTAGCTAACCGAACAGACAATGTAAATCAAGCTTCAAGCGAGACTTTCGAAGACGACCTCGGCGACAATATATTTATTATACGTAGCATGCAAGATCACCAAGCGATCACGTAACAGACCTTGAAGCGAGGGCGAACGTCGCTCGTTATTCCCGACTTTCCCGAGTCAATCGAAGCGTACGTGAGACGCGCGTTACGTTACTTCACGCGCCGCGATCGTTTCTCCGGCAGCGTCCGGGGGAATCTTTCCAGTGTGTGACCGCCATTTTTCATCTTTATTAGTTTGGAAGAGAAGTGTGCGATCTCGATGCGTTATCTATTCATACAAGTAACCGGGAAACTTGCTCTCTGTTTCAGATTTCCGCCGGAGCTTGTGTGACCGCCGCAGTGAGCGCGGTTCCCGAGGGTGCAGTTTCGCTGGACGCGGATCCGCCGTGCCGGAGGATCCGGCTCGGTTCCAAGGTGGGCTTGCAAACGTTTGCGTACTCCGACGTATCCGTAAGAATGTTGTTCTCGGGATGTTAATCCCGAGTTGAGAGTTGCAACAGCTGTGTGCAGCTTTAATATCGAGCCGCGTATCTAATCGGCGGCGAAATTTTTCCCCTCCAGATCTGCAGCTGCAGCATGGCCGGCCTGGAGTTCTCCAGTCGTATTTCAGTGAGTCCAGAACAAAAATACGTAAAAGTACAGTGAAAATTGTTACAGCGACTCGCTCTATTCAATCGTTGTGCACACCGCATGATATACACACTGGAACGATGAAATATCATCGAGCCCATTACGTCTCTCGCATCGAATCCCGTTGCCACACACGGCTTGCATAACTTCCCGGCTGTGCAACAATGTATTTCCATCTTGCGGATTCTCCTTACAATCTCGCGCGCGACAAAGTGACAAAGTAAGGACGGAGCGGCATCGATCTGCTCCGGAGCGAAATAATGCACCTGGAGCGAAATCCACGGGACGTTACGGCGGACGTCGTTCTTTAGCGCGGGCAATCTTTCGCGGTGATTTAGTCGATCGATTCAATTTTATGGCTGGTCCTTTTTTCCCCGATGTGTCCGCCCGCACGCGCTACGACGGCCGCGGTCGTAGCCGAGCGGGGTGTTGGTACACCGGCGGATCGAAGGGAGACTCGACCATCCGGAAGCACGCGCCGATTCGCCTCAAATCGTCCGTGGCCAGGAATTATTGCCCGAAATTATACGTTTCGCGTGCCGGCTACGTCGATTCAAACGCGCCGTTTTCTGCTACCACGAGAGAGCCCCCCTCCCCCCTGTACGTCCCCCGTACGTCACCCCCGCGCGCCGCTCCTATGACGGCTCTTTCTCCTTCGATCCGCCACCCTCCAAGCCCTCCGATCGAGCACGTGACTCGATAGTCACAGCCAGGCTGGCTCGTGGAAACGCGTGGTGGAAAATTCAAGCGTCCCTCTTTCCCGTCCCATCGCGCTGTTTCTTTCCGTGTTTCGGAGGCTCGCGTTTATCGATACTCCTCTGGACGTTCGTGCAAAGTGCGCGCGTACACGAGGTTCGGTCAAGGAGTAACGAGAATTTTTTATTTTCTCGGAAAGTATTTGTTTAATCTTCAATGTCGATCCCATCTCCTTCAGAGTAGTCCTCCTGTGATATTGTGCCACTTGTGCCAACCTTTAGGTATGCCTAACCTTTAGGTATCAGGTCTTCAGCTGGATCAGCGATTTCGCCTTTGTCTCATCTATTGTTGAAGAACGTTGTCCTTTGAGTTTGGGAAATGGGAAAAAGTCACAGGGGGCCTGTGTCTGGAGAATAAGGTGGTTGCGGCATCGCGACACGGTGTTGTGTTTCGCCAAGGACTTGGTTGGATAAGCAAAGCTCTCCGACTGATCCGACTGATTTCGTCAGACGAAAAAAAATCGCCAAACACACCGAAGTACGTCTTGCTCATTCGCGCTCGCCAGACTTACGAACTACAGCGAACGCAGCTGCCTGAAAATTGACACGTACGTCACTGGTGGTGACCTACCGACGCACGAGGAAAGAATCGACCGAATAGACAATTTCAAAATTCTCCTTACTTTTTGATCAGACCTCCCAAGTCCGGCGAGATGCACGCGTTTTAAAAACCGACCACGATCCCATCCCGCTCGGCTGTCCGAATAAAGCGCGCGCTTGGGATTCACGACTTGATATCGCATTACTGTCATCGGGCCATTCTTGCGCGTTATCTCGGCTTTATATGCATAAGGAAGGAAGGGTAATGCAGCGCGCGGAGATGGGCGCGGCAGCAGATATGAAGGTACACGACTTACGGGACGCTCCCCGGCTGCCAAGATGGAGAGCCATAAGCCGCTCGTTTCCTCGCAAGAAAGATTCGAGGCGAAATCACCGTCAAAGGCGACGCCGCGGAAGCCGTCGGCGTCCCCCGAGATTGATGCCCGTAGGCGAATTTAAAAGTGACAGGGTGAAGGATCGGGGCTACTTTCGAAACATCGAGGTAACATTATAAATGGGCTGAGATACACACATCGCACCGTTACGCCGTAACGGCGAGAATCTCCGAAGGTAGCCGGATAAATGCACGACGCGCGGGGCGTTTGAGATTGAAAGTGTTGGGAGAACGGAAATTTTCATTCGGTTTCGCGCAGCAAGTCCCGAGCCGGGACATTAGCGATGCAAAGTCCGATACGCGACACTCGATCTCTCGCGCGACACGTCGGGATGAGAGATTCTTATTATAAGAAATAACAGGCGATTTAATTAACGTGTGTAACTTTCTCGTGTACGAGCAAATATCACATTATTATTCTTGTTACTGATATTAATACGAAAATTAATTGAACAAACCGTACGTCGATACGAGCGAGATATTTTCGTGTAATTCGACATTTCCCTGAAACGATGATGACGCGACGAAAATAATAACAGCGTTCGCCCAAATGGCTCTTTTCCACGATGTAGGAAAATTGCGCGTAGACCAAAGTCCTCGATCCTCGGAACCTGTAATTACCCGAATGAAATATACCGGAAGGCGCATAGGCGCACAATCCCACGACGAAATTGCCAGGCAGCTGAATTTCGTCGAGCTGCTTGCCGAGAGCGGCGCCGAGCGGCCCGAATCTTCGGTAATCGATGGCACCCCCTTTAATTTCTGCGTTACGCCACGAACCGATGACTCGATCGGCGGGGGGGGGGGGAGGGGGCACGCCGAGCACGATATACGCTGGCAACTCGTAATTACAAGCCATTCGCGTGCCGACAAATTTTTATTTAGTTCTGCCGCGTTAGTAGAACACTCGCGTCCTACACGAACTTTTCGTACGCGCCGCGGCGCGCGTCTCTCGTGACGAGACGCCGTACATTTCGCGCCGTATCTTCGCCTTCGTTTCGCCCCTGTCCCGCTCGATTTCTTTCGCGATTAATCTCCTCGTTCGACCGACCCGCTCCATTAGCTCGAGCGAGATACTTTCCGTTATATCGGCGTTTAACCCGAATTCGCTTTTAATCGTTTCTTCAAACGCGAGCGAGCGCGCCAACGGGACGCCCTCTCCCCCTCTCTCTCTCTCTCTCTCTCTCTCTCTCTCTTGGCTTTTCCCGATTGCTCATTCTCACACACGTGTTCTCGCGATCGTCGCACTGAAAATCACGCGCAGAAAGCGGCCGTTGCGTGCCGCTCGGCTCGATAACTGAAACATTGTAACGCAGGGAGAAAATTGGCCATAAGTATCGATAATGATGTAATGAGCGAGAGCACACAAGGAATATTTCGTGACGCGACGTGTACTTACGCCATTAGCCGTAATGCACCGTGCCTCGCGAATCGCTCCGACCCGGTCCGCGAAGTGTGTTACACATTTACGCGTGCGCGTTTGGCGCACAGCTACGAGAGGCGAGAGAGAGAGAGAGAGAGAGAGAGAGAGAGAGGGAGATGGAGAGGCGTATTGATGGATTCCGCGCACATTCACGCCGGCCAGCGACCGGTCGATTTAGCACTGGCTAAATACAGGGCGACCGTTGGACCGTCCGGTGATTCTCGTCGGAGGGTCCCGGAAGAGAAATCGACGCGATCGCACGGGGTGGCGGTCGAGCGCGGGAAAAAGAGCTCTGCCTCTAAAATCTCTATGCAAATGGGGGCTCGGCCGCTTCAAGCTCGGCGATTTTAGTTTTTGGCGCTGCGGGGCCTATCGCACGCCACCTCCCGCTGACCATGATTGACAGGGTTGTGCGGAACACGCGTGTCGTCCAACCCCGCTGTCAAAGGAGGCAGCGCGCGAGGGGTGGCGAGAGGGCGAGGAAACGCGCGCGCGCGAGAGAGCGAGAGAGGAGAATAAGGAGCGAGAGCGGGAGGACGGCAGTGCCTGCAATGGCGGATCGTCGAGGGTCCTTCAACGTTGCCACCCCAGTCATTACTTCGGCATTAACGGGGGATGATTCTCCTTCCCTCTTTCGCGGATTCACCGGTTCATCGAGTACTCGAGAGAGCCCGCCAGCGAGCGGGGAAAGAGAGAGAGAGAGAGAGAGAGATGCGCAGAAGGGGAGAAGGCGACTCCTCGCCGGGTTGTCCTCGTCTCGGATGTCGTGCAAAGTTAAATCGCCGGATTTACGAGCGCGCTGCGCTGTGCTTCGCCTCGATATTTCGCTTTTTGCATCTCGCGTCTCATAGCTCGCGTCGACGATCGGCCTTTCCCAGCGAGCGAGGCTCTCGCGATAACGTGGAACTCCTGACTCCTCGCAAAGTTTCGCGAATCGCGAGAAAGCGCGCGAAGGAGAAGAATATACGATTGAGATTCTGCCGTGTTGCTCTCGAAGAAGCGGGACTTTTTTTCTCCTTCTCTCATCCCTTTTCCCCGAGTCACACCAAGTTGCTGAAAAATGGCACTTGAAGGGCGCGTCTTTCAGCCGCGCCGACTAACAAAGCGCACGCGATCTCTCTCGGAGATTACAAGGCGTGCGATTAACAGTCCGTCAAATTTAATCCCGCGCGATAAGCCTCCTTCGTTTTTGCCCGCGCATTGTTGTTTCGGCAACGCGACCGTATAGTATAGTAGCAGCTCCGGAAGATTTAACGGCGCATATTGCGCAGCGGATTGCCGCAGCTGCTGCGGTTTCCGGGTCTGATGGCCAGTTGGCCGAGAGAATTGTTGCCAAATTACGTTCTTCCTTCCAGCGAGAGCGCGCACGTGGCAACGCGAATGATTTACATGTAAAACTCACTTCCGCAGGCGTTCCTTCTGACTCGCATTAATTTCGCGAATTTATCAATGACTGCTCCCCGCCACGCCCGCGCCGGCGATATTTGGCAGGTGAATGATGACACCCGAACGACGAGAAGTACTCCTCGTAGCTCTCGGCGCTTCGACAATTCATTCTCCGTCAAGCTCCTCGCATCATATCATTCTGATTCACCGCGAGACATTCTCGTTTCGCAACTGGCATTAAGCACGCTAAAATGATCCAATCCTTCGTCACGTGGCAACCTGCGCGCGTTATGCACTCGTAAGAACGCCGTCAAACGCGTGTCGACGACGGTCCCAATACGTTCGCGGCTCGTTCCCCTTTCACGCGTCTTCTCATTCTCTCTGCGCGAGTGCAACGAAGAGGCCAGCGCGATTAGCGCGAAGAGCAGCGCCGCGAAGACGATGGATTATTGACCGGTGCAATAAAACGACGTTGGATAGAGGCGCGCGAATATATCGCGCAATCGGAGACACCGAACCGACCGAACGGCGGCGCAGGGTCCTTGGACTCCATTCTGGACAAACATTTTCCGCTCCTTCGACGGTAGCCACACGCGGCGGCGGCGCGGTAATGTCTGCAACGACCCGGTGAAAGGCTGCGAAAATGTCAGATCACGGCGAACGTGCTGGTCGCAGCGCTAACTTCCTTGTTTAGCGCGAGATCTGTCGTGGATCAGCCGCGTTTAAACTTAGTTAGAAAACGGCCCGCCGACGCGCTCTCAAACTAACGCCACGAACAGCTACCGAACCGTACGACTGCGTAATTGTCGTCGCGTGAGTATTCCCGGGAGGGAGGGTGGGGGGATATATTCGGCGATTCTTGGAATACACCGAGTAAATGTTGCTATCGCTCTTGATCGGAACACCGCTGGGAACCCGCCCCCCCCCCCCCGCCGCTGCTTGTCAGATACGCCTGGTCCGATCATATCCACCTGATTACGCGAGCATACACGAGCCAATGTGATTCCGCCGACAGTATCGCGGTGGTGGTATCAGCCGATAAGCTACGAAACACAAACTACGAAACTCACGCGACCTGCTGACAATATTATTGCTACGTCCTACGTATAGGCTTGATATGTTAAAGCGCGAAGATCGGAAGATACGAGTGAAAGAGTGGCAGTTTAATATTCCCACTTCTGCCGAAGTATCGATATGAAATCGTACAATCAACTCGTACCGAGTCTGTTTCCCCGCTTAAAGACACGAAACTGGAGTTTCTGTTTTTTTTTTTCGAGCTTGTCGCGATCTCGCGAGACTATTAGGGATGCAACGATCGATAGAATCGATATATCGACATGAATTTTACTGATATTTCCTATTTTTTTGTTACAGTTCTAAGGGCCTATTACGGTTCTGCGATCCAGGATGAAAATGACAAAAGTGAGTGAATTCACTGGAATATATATTATGCACGTAATTGGTCGGCGTCTAGTAAATTCGCTCATTTTCATCATTTTCTCACCTCAATCGTTGAACCGTAACAGATCTCCTGCTCCCGTACGTATGCGGCGGTGATCTCCGGCAAACGACTGCGGATTTATTATATATTCTTTAATAAGAATATATATGACAATAAATTATATGAAGATAAAAATTTTCGAAAGATCTTTCTAAATTTCTCGTGTATACCCTTTATACGTATACATTTTCTTTTTTTTATATAAATATCGATATTTTTCAAAATTGTCGATATTATCGTTATCGACGGTTCTGACTGACGATAATCGAATATCGTTATCGATATTTCGAGAAATCATCGCATCCCTAGAGACTATACCTCGCATGAATACGTCCAAGTAACGTTTCTACGAAAAGTTACTTTTGTCTTTGGAAATTAGGAAAAAAGGAACGCGTATGCGAAATGAAGCTCTCACAGCTCCGGCGGCATAAAGTTGCCTCGGGCCTTAGGGCCTCCTTCGGCTCGGTTCGGCGTGCAATTTACGCGGCGGGAATACGCGAGGCGTTACGCAGAAGCGCGGAGAGAGAGAGAGAGAGAGAGAGAGAGAGACGTGTCGAAAACGCGCGCGCGCGCGAGAGAGACGTTGAGCACGTGCGAGGCATAGGATGATGTTTACCTGCGCGACATTATATCGCTGGCAACGCTTAACGACGGATCGGTGCAACGTCCGAAGGCGGCCACCAACTAGCTCAAGGAGAAAGAACATTGGCTGCGGAGCCAAGAGTTTTCACGCTTCGTAGCCGTTTATAGCCACCGTGCGTACGCTCTAGCGCGATAAACTTCTCGTTCCCCCCTTTTTTCTCCCTACCTCGAGCTGCGCGCCTTGCCTTGCCTCGCCACTCCGCCGTGCGCCTTGCTAAAATCGCCGGTTTATTTCGCAATTGCACCGAGCCGGTGCCGAGTCGAGCCGACAATGAGCGCGCAAACGAGCTCGTTAATTAATTTTCGCCGTGTCAATGGTGTCTCGGTTCCTTTCCTACGGACCAACGACGCTCGATTCCCGCCTGATGAATTTTTCGTCGCTCCGAGCTTTCGACACAGGTCTCGAGCGCTCGATAAAGCCTCGCCTGTAAATATTCCCGAATTGCAAACGGGAAGGAGGGAAGGAGCCGGGGATGGAACGCGAAAGAATCGGAAATTCATCGGGAGGGCGCTCGGTTCTATCCGGACGTTACTGCTCCAAGCGAGAGCAAGCGAAGGGTTGGCCGGGGGAAAAATTAAGTGACGAGGAGCTTACGCTCGCGTTCGATTTCGCGTTCGCCGACGAAATGCTGCGGCACAGGCGCAGCCGCAGTGTGAATACGGTGACGGCGTGTGCCGAGGGATACCGGTTGGACTAGCAACCCCTTCGTATATTGTCGCAGGTAACCGCGTAGGAGTAGCCGCGCGGTCGTGTTTCCGTGGCAACTGGAGAGAGCTACGTGTACGCAACGTGTTCAGCTCCGTGCATGGGAAATTGAGCTCGTAAACTCGCGTCGATCGGGCCTTTAATCGCGCATCGATCTCGCGAGATGCCCGTCGTCGAACACGGTCATAATAAAAGCTAATCTCAGGATTTTCGATTCGACGTCTCTTCTCTCTCTCTCTCTTTCTTCCTTGCTATTATAACTTCGCCCTGTTTTCGCCGGCTTTCGTCGATTGAAATCATCGTCGTCCTCGCTCGCACGTTCCAACGTGCGGCCGGTGTCGTTTCGCAACGGACGAAAAATGAATTCGATACTTTACTTGCGGCACTTGAACAGCGCGATCGTTTTATGGGCACGCTCACGAGCGTTTCGCTCGATGTCGATCATACGAGATGACCTGTCGGGGGAAGGAGCACGTCGACGAGGAGGAATCCTTTGCGCGACACACGGCTGTGCTCGTGTGTTTCCGTGGCAACCGTAAACAGGCGCCCCCGAAATTTTACTGGTGAGCTATCGTATCGCAGGTGGGACACCCCTTTTACGATCCGCACGTGGATCTGTACGCAGAGCTATCGCTGTCGCACTCGGGCCTCGCCTGCACCACCCTCATCGCGCGTAGTCCCTTTTTCCAGCTTTCGTCGCGGCGTTGCGTCGCGGGAGGTGCGCGCGCGCGCGCGACTATCGACCTCGATTAATTTCCAATGGATGCTCGTAAAGCGTTTTACTGGCTGCTATATACGCATGACGAAATACTCTCGGTGAGAGAAAGAGAGAGAGAGAGAGAGAGAGAGAGAAAGAGAGACGGGGGTAAAAGCGAGAAAGGGACGGGAGAGAAGAGGAAGGAGAGAGAGCGGAGGGACGCGGAGAGACGGAAAGATATTTGGGAAACACGGAGAGAAAGAGACGAGGAGAGATGAAAAAAGACAGGGAGAGACGAGGAGAGACGGGAGAGACGGGAAGATTTGGAAGACACAGAGAGAGAGAGAGAGAGAGAGAGAGAGGGAGAGAGAGACGAGGACTGACGGGAGAGACGGGAGAGACGGGGACAGACGGGAGAGACGGGAGAGACAGAGAGGGAGGCAGGGAGAGACAGAGTGAGAGAGGGTGAGCGTAGAGAAGAGTGAAAGGGTTGGGGAGGGAAAAAGAAGGGGGAGAGAGAGATAGAGAGAGATACATCGGCGTTGCCGCGCTGATACGACAGATTGTCGCAGATTTCGGAACCCGGGGTAAGGTCCGTCGCGCGTTCGAGGAAGAACTACCCCGCAATTTTCGTAATGGAGAGGAATCCGTCGGTGTCGGAGCCGCTAGTAAATAGTCTCGCGCGCAACAACTGTTTGTCGTGTCCGGTACCGCGCATTTCCGCACATTGACCGCTGGTCGTTTCCGCCGAGGGTTCGCAAATTTTCCAACCGACGCTTCTCTCTTCTTTCTTCGAATTTACATGAAACTCCTCTTTCTCTTCTTCCGGTCTGTTTCTTTCCCAATGAAGTGTCTTGTTCAGACCTTTGATGAAATTTTTCTTTCCGAGGAATATCCGCGAACGTTTGCTCCAAGTGAGAAGAGTGCATTATCGCTGGATGCGCTTACCGCCTCAGAATTTCCTCAGGGAATAAATAGTTGAGGTTTCTCTCTCGCAATAGAGAGACGCTTCTGACGTCCCGACGACGCATCGATATTCATAGAATTACGTTACGTAATATCATCGGGGATGGTATTTCCGCGATAGAGATAATACATCGACCGATAGACCGGCGGGGGAGCGAACGTGCGAGTGAATTTAGGGATTGCCGATGTATCCAATAAAGCAGGAAGAAAATGCTACATTAATATCATATCATCATAAATTTTATGATATAAATTTGTTTCATACAGATTTATTAGGAAAGGGCCGTAATCGCTAAATTATGCAATATTTATTTTGTAGAGTCTTGAGAAAAGCCGCGATAATCTTGATCATAATATCATAAAGTTATGATATCATAATTATATCTATTAATATAAATGAATTTAATTAATTAGCACCTGACACATACGTGCACGCTATCGATCGTCTATAACACCACATCCTCCGTGCATCTCCGTGTAATATCGTCATTCTTTTTGTATTTTTTCCACGTTCATTTATTTGATGATTAATCAGTTACTCTGGTATCTGCGGCTATTTTAAAATCCCTTAGCTAGATAAATCTGATTGATAATCGAATATATCAATAAAGTGCTTTAAACGATAGGCTATCTTCGTGCGTGCAGGGATTACGAATGCATTATCTCTGGAAACGATCACGTCTCATTATTATTTCATAAATCAAACACGCGTGAAAGGTTTTGACTCGATCGGGACGGAAATCACGACGGTGAAAAAAAAGCATGAGAACGGCGCAAAATTCACGGTTGATTTATATATACGACGCGAGAGCGCAGGTCGCATTTTAATTGAGATATAAATTTCTGGCCGTGAGTAGTCGAAGTCACGGTCCAATTTCATTACGGAATTTAATGCCCGCGGTGTCGATAAAATGTCGACGGATATTTTATCCAACGATATCCGTCGTTTTTGCGCTGAATTTTACACTTATTTTTAGCCGGTTTATTCACGAATAAAATTGCAAAACATGTTCCATGGGGCACGCAAAATTGCTGCAACTTAGATAATTGCAGCGCAAGTATTTTAATATCACACGATAAACATTCCCTTTCGCAAAGGTTATAAACAATTGTTGAAGCTTAAATACCAGATATTAAAATAATTGAATTTTTCGATGAATAAATTTCCTGGATATTTTCTTCTCTTTTAACGCGCTATATTACTTCGGTCGACCTCTCTCAGCAGCCACTAATGAATATCCTGCTAACGAATTTGTATCTAAGACCTCGTCAAGTTTAACGTGCAAAAACACACGTTAATGGCGCTTGTTGCACAATTGGCGTCCCTACCGACTAGCACGCCACTTGACGTTGACGCTCGCCTGGTCGTCTTTGCTGAGGCGTAACTTACTTCGCGTCGTAGTACTCTTCAATCAAATGCAAGTGTAGACAATTACGCGGCAGGCGGGCGGGCGTGATAATTAAACTAAAGAGAAACGTAAACGAGACTCACGCTTTGTGCACCTTCTGTAACAATTCGCATTCACCAGCAGAAGCATAAAGTCCATCTTTTCAGTTTTACACACACATACATATATATACGTCTTTTGCTTATTTCAGGAATTAATACACGACATTCTAATATTAGGATTAAGTATCGACATAAGAATACGCATCAGTGTCTCAAATTTTTTCGCGTTGCGAAAAAAGTACAAATAGAAACAAAGGTAAAATTTATGAAATTTTATTTCTTCTATTGTAACGGCAATTATTGTTAAAAAGTTTTTGTATATGTTTCAGTAATCACTGAAACCGACGATTTAACCAAACGAGTTGTAATTTGTTATCTTGTTGTTACTTACTCGCAAACAGTTTGTTAGTACATTATTTGTAACGTCACCTATATATTATACATTGAATATTTTTCATCACTGGATTAAATATCTCGTGGTCAAGTCAACATTTTAACTTAACATGACATAAGAGATAGAAATTGTGCCTTATTCGAAGGGAAAAATTTTGAAAACCATCGAGTTTTATTTAAATATATCACACGATCGAATCGCAGAGATTTGTAAACTTCATTATGAAACTTTTCCATCTGCGTAAATTCTAATTCACGGTAGACTCGTATCGGATTGCAATGTAGGCTCGCGTAGTAGATTAAATCTTTATGGAGAAATGGGGCCGATCAAGTGCGATAAATCAAGACCCCTTGGCTTTTCATCTGAGGAGAGACGCGTTTCTTTAAATCATTCTTGCTCGCGCTACACGTCAGCGAAGATGAACATTCCGTTTAAATTTGTATTTTCATCAGTGCCTGCGCGGAATCTTTTATATATTTCATCATAAAGGGAAAATATGAGAAATATATTACGTAATATATCTCGATGTGTGCACCATCAAAGCCGATTGGATTCGTTCTTTAATTTTCGAGTTTTTTCTTCGATCAACTCTGTTTAGAGGGATTGGCATTTTCTAAAAAAAAAAAAGAAAAAGAAAAAGAAAAAAAGAGAGAGAGAGAGGAAAAGAGACATCTTCCAACAAAAAAAGATTTAATTTTTAATTTCCTCTTCTTCTCTATATATACGTGCCAGTTAAATGTCGTAACCATTTCTGTAAAAATATTTTACGCAAATGAAGTGAGACATCAGTATACTCGTACTCGCTCGCTTCTTTCGAGGCGCGGATAGTTACGGTCGGTGACGATAATAACGTCGTTTGTATGATTTAGAAATTATCTTCCTTTCGCAGCAGCATCCTCCATTGAAACCTCGTTTGCGCCCAGGACGTATGGCGCCTGTCGACTACGGGCCAGCTACGCGAAACGATCTCCCTTCGCCATATTCGCTCCGAATGCCGTATTGTCTCTGCCCGGTCGACATTCTGCTTTATCGGCCCGACATATTGAAGCAGCCGACCGGAAACGCAGCAGCCGAATATGCTTCGAATTTCCTTTTCTCTCTCTCGTCTCCCACCCTCAATCGCCGTCCTCCCCGTCGAAACTAAAACTGACGATTCAGATCTCTCCCGGAGGGTTCTCGAGTACGGCTTCGAGACGTTGCTGATAGGGACGGCCGCGACGTGTCATCCACGGTATTTGCCAAACGTCAAATATCAGCTCCGGATGAGTGAATTGGGTATCGCGCCATTCTTCGACGTAGAATATTTTATTAGAATATGTCTTCTTTGAAATCGCGCGAATGTGCGTTTGTGATATATACATATAGTTTTTCTTGTCAACATCTTGACGACGCGCTACTTGCGACACTAATTAGAGATTTCCAATGGACGTGTCGAGAAATGGTTTTTCTCTCGTGCCATCGTAATCTAACTCCGTCTTCACGGTGACATGTATTGCTTGGCTAAACTGAGCCAGACATTTGGCACCGAAGATTAACCCGTAGTCTGGATTATTTATTAACGCGCTCCGGTAGGAATAGTAACGTAGTTCACGGGAGTTCCCCGCCCGTCTGCAAATCGCGTAATAACGCGCCGTTTAATTGTATTAATGACAAACTGCTTTATGATGAGGTTCAGTTTTCTGAGCTGTCGGCCGGAATCTGGAAGAAGGATGTGACGAGGGTGCCAGGCGCTTGAGATATTAACCACGTCCTTAATTAATAAAGATATTCAGTCATGCGACTAATCCGATTTCAGGGATGAGGCTTATATTGAATTAAGCTATTCGAAGCTAATAGTACCTTTACGATCGAGTTTTCGACGCAATTTTTTCTTCTCTAGGGTTTAACCAACGGCCAAATATTTCAAGTTTGTGTCCTGTGTAAATGGTGTCCCCGAGGAATGTAAAAAGTAATTAGAGAAGAACGCGTGTACAGGAAATATTTCGGAAGATATCTTTCGTAGAAACAGTTTTCTTCTGTCGTACTTGGGGTTTTCCGATTACAATAGACCCTTCGTACATTTCTCCTCGCTGTTTCTTTATCTCGCGTGGGACAGCTTTAGTCTCCTCTGAAAGAGATTAAGAGAACAACCTAACTAAATTATCTACTGCGACAAGATCGTCATCTGACGACTCATGGGATGTACATATGCAAATTAACGTGAAATTAACTCACAGTTGTCGAGTCAGACGTAATTACCGAAGAAACCGCGTCGACGATTCCATCAGCTACGTCTGGATGTAAAAATAGATTTTTAGGTCTCTTTGAATAGTCTGATGTATAAGTAACACGTAAAGTGCCCATTCAACGCAATACGGTCGGTCTTCGAAGACAAATTCAAATACATCGCATTTATGTGATAAATATTTCCGTTCAACGTCACGTAGAATGCTATTGTCATGTTGTCACGCATTGTATCGCACAGAACGCGACAGTTATAGCGATGTGCTGAACATTTGTCATGCGAAAGCTTCTTTCCGTCTCTCGAAAGCATCTTGTGCAATTCGTAAAGCAGCTATTTTCTGCTCTCATTCATCGCATTTGGGATTTCTGCTGCAATAACACACCAACCGAGATTACGGTATTCTACTTACTCGCAAGACGTCTGTCTCATACGTTACCTTTATCATTTCTATTTTACAACAATGCCGTCGTTGGTGCAATCGTAACGTAAAACATCCAATGAAATGTGTGGGTGTGCAATTGCAGGATGTTGTCCACATTGCGTAATGTTAAATCAATTTGACAAAGTCATTAAATTAAATAGTCCATTAAATAGTCAGATCAGATACTCATAACTAACGTCTCCCCCAGTTAATTAAATAACTTGTAAGTATTTCTGCTTAATCATACTTAATTCTTATGCATCGTAAGTTGGACTCGTCGACTAAAGCTCTCGTCGAAGCATTCGGTTATATCAATGTTTTCTGTGTACTCTGTACGCAATGTGCTCGCACATTGCCGCTTTAGCGGAACAGCAATTATTACTGAGTCGTGAATTATCTCGCCTTACTATTATTTTTATGGTTCTGATTTTAGATTTGCACTGCACGGTTACGCCGGTGCTTGGGAGAATATATGAGAAATGAAACGGTCTACTGCATTCTCCGAAGCGACTATTATCGGGTTTTGATAAATCTTTCTCGATAGCAACGATAGCGCGTAACCGAGTCTCTTGAAAAGTCAGCTGCGATGATCGTCGTATTGAAATTGTCAAAATGTCTGAGCTTTGTTGTGATTTTACGCACTTGTTAGTATTTTTGTTCAGACGTTTGCTAATTTTTTTTTTTTGGAGTGAGGGAATATTGTCTTTTAGTAAATGAGAGAGACAGGATTCACATATATTTATTCAAATATCTTTATAATTTCTGAAAAGTTTCTTCTTTCCTATATATATATATATATATATATATATTAATCATAGATTCTTCTCTGTAGATTTATTCAAGTATTAACTAGATTTGTAAAGAAGATAGAGTGGAATTATACGAAAACTTCTCAACGCCATATTATTTTGACATTTTTGAAAGCTTTTTATGAAAGACATAAAAGGCAATATTGTCTTAACAAACGTATGAAAATCAATTACATTATAATTTCTATAATTTGTTTTATTAATAGACGCCATTATAAAAACTTGCATAACGAACATATTAATCAGCAAAAAAAGCTGTAACTACACATTTATCATTTTCTCGACGACGCAGTTGATTTGTTTGTGGTGTCACACTCGTATATAATGCTCAAATGTTAATCTATTAGCAATTTTGTAGAAGCACACATTTGTCCTGCGCGTTTCTGACATACCCATCTATACAGTCGCATCCTATAACACACGCCTGCAAAACAAAAAGTCAAAAATATTCTGTTAGATGTACAGTTGGTCAATATTCAGTTAAATATTCAGTTAAATATTCCATTTAGATAAAATTATTATAGAAATTGCCGTACATTTTATTCAAGTATATTTGTCTATATTATTAATAAATCTACGAATACAGATTTAGCATGCAGAACAATTGACAGCATAGAAGCAACGTGGCGTCAAAATAAATTTATATTTATTGAGTGACAGATATATAGGAAACTCGTTAAGATGTTTCATGAAATTGTTATAATTATTTGCGAGTGTGTCCTCCTCGTTAGAGGATGCATTGCTTACCAGCGTACAAACGGGAGGAACTGGTTGATCGCAAGTGTTCGGGCACGATGAACCGCAAGAATTGAAAAATTCATTTTCGCCGCATTTGGTCTGGGGATAGGCACCTATGCAAACGGAAAAAATTAATTGTTTTTCTTTTATTTAATAATGCTTCTGTTAAACAATGTTAACAGCACGCTGGATAGTTTTGATGAAAATTTGTTGACTCTTTATAAATGGTCAGGCGAACAGGGTCGGGCGAAAGGTTTGATTTGATTATTTAGTCAAATTTGAGTCCATTGCGTTTGGTGAAAACGTAACCAGATTATCATCGAAGAAAAGCATCGAAAATCGAATCAAATTTTTTTATCTTTATACTTCCACCAATTAATTTTTTTATCCTTGTACTTCCATCAACAAAATATCTTACGTAAAAGGGTTTCATGGAACGGCTGTTAATTTAAGTATCTCTTAAAGTAATAACAAATTGGACAAAATGTCAACGAAAATTTCAGGCATTGGTTAATGTTGTTGCGAACTTACTGATGGTGACGACCGCTACGATGAGCAAGAGGAACGTTATGGCGCGAGACATACTTGTATTTTTCGGTTGAAAATGTATTTACTCGCAGCACGTTTCGGTAGCTCGAGTTCGACTGACAGCAGATGTCTGCTGCTCTGCTTATATACTATGATGGGTGGCCTTCGATGTGATGGACATTTTTTCGGCACACCTACTTCCTTCTTTCTCTCACAATACTCATCTCACAGATTTGTACATAACGATTCCTTTCGAGAGACTGAAACCGCCATATCACCAGACGCGCGATATCAATTGTGACCGAGATATCTATTGGCTTATAATCTAAACTCGTTTCACAAACAGAGCTTTTGGGCCGAATCTTTAAATTAACGTATTCGCTAATTGCTAGCCACTCATCTATCAAATTCAAAGAACCGAAATACTAATATATCGGTAATTCAAAGTTCGAGATAGAATATCGCAAGAGAAATAATGATTTATAAAATTTTACTCAGCGTTACTTTCGAAAATCGGAATTTTGCGAGTTACTTCGTAGAATATAGTAGTATTTAGTTTAAATATTAAAAATATATTTTTATATTACATTGCTAGTTATTATATAATTATAGGTCATACTTATATAATCAAAAGTTGCAAGTTTGCACTTTGTGATATCATTCGCACGATCTTATCGCTTATCGGACAGTACTTACTCATCCGCGAATGTTATTATTAGTCATAATGCAATTATTGTCATATTGTCATATTGTCGTTAGTCACGAATATCAATAATGAGTAACTTTCTCGATATGCCCGACACAGAAGTGTCAAAATAGCTGTCTTTCTATTTCTTTATTTATTGAAATATTTAAACGGTATTATTTAGTCGTTCAATTATTAATTTAACTGTAAATAGTACAATATATCGTAAAATAAAATAAGTAAAATAAAATTACTAGCGGCGTCTGAGAAAACATTTGGAAACTCTAGATTAATCATTGCGTGTTTGTTAAGGAAAATTGATAACAAGACTATATCTCTCGTGATAATGATCCCGTCTACTGCATTCTCTCAACACTTACTTTCATCACGTCTCTCTTATCTTTGAGAAACGCCTAAATCCGGCGGAGATTGGTCACTTGTTTTCTACATTTTCTACATCAGCTATTTGATTAATAACAAATCGCTTGTAACAATAGTCGGTAAACGAGTGTATGTACGCATGTAATAATAATGATAAAATTGTCTTTCCTGTTACGTATATTGTCCTCTGTATTATTGTAGTAGATAATGGCAATATAATGACTTTGGGAACGCAATTCATGATTCACTTCAGGCTTCGAGACTTCGTGACATGACGGAACTTGTTTTTATCTTCACAAATGAGATAAGAAAAAACACATGTTATATCAGTAACTGAAAAATATATATATATATATATATAATATATGAGTTTATCTAAATCGTTGGAAGTCGTACGGTTTTACTCTAACATTATCAAAAATATATAATTATTTCTCCTATCATTGGTTTTGTAAGAAACTTACCGTATTTTTATTTATGCTGAGGAATAATTTTCGATTATTTTCTTATCTCGCTGTAAAGAGAGATGAATTACTACTACGCTTCTCGTATATATAAGTTTAGCGTATATATAAGATAGCAATTTTATAGCTGTAAAATTGACTTCAAGTAAAACTACTTTGAATAACAATATTCCATTTAAAGTGTACATGACATCAATATCATCAAAGCGGCAATCATACGCCGCCAGACCTTCTTAATGTATACCGTCAATATTAGCTATATCTCGCTCGTTCCATGAAACCGCGTACTTGTTATTTAAACAGCATTGACATTTGACTCTCCGTCCACTTCTTCGAAGCATCGCAAGATCGCAAGTAAAGTGTGTCGTATGTAACTTTTTGGGAAATTATATTTTCTCAGTTTAAATTTCTTAGAAAAAAAGACTTGCGCATTTGAAATTACAGAATGACTTATAAATACCGGAGTGAATGTACTCGCCAAGGAATTTAAATACGGATAAGGTCGTTTAAAAACAATTTCTTCTTAATTTTTTCTTAAGAAAAATATCGAAGAGAAAGGTTATTAACCACACCTTTTTTTATTTTTAATGTATATCTTTATTATCATGTTTTAAAATTCTTATAAACCACAATCTATTTGAAGTCGTTTAAAGAATACAATTTTCTAATTTCTACTAATTATTCGAAAATTATTGGTGACACAATACTTCGGCGAGAAATTGGTTCCGAGAATCGATGATACTCGTTGACTTTGATACATCTTGTATTTGTTTGTCGTCACTGATTACTCTTATCTCAAAATTATATTCTTTCTCACGCAACCGCCGTTTTATTTATCAATTAAAACAATTTTTAATCGCATCTTTGTTTATGATGACTCATACTGTGACGGTAAAACGCAATGCCTGTCATTATTGAATACATATCCATCCTTGCAGCGGCGATCTGCTCTGCGAAGCTCCTTTTTTTTTAAATCAACAAAATTATAATTAATTTATACAATTATTCTATGCACTCAAATAATATGCGGCAACATATTAAATTACTTGGGATCATAGATACATACTATTATGACCGTCATTGTACAAACTCTCTAACATATTTTAATTTAACGGCGTGATTTTTATATTCAAGAGATGTTATTAGTTTTTTCTTATCGATGTACGTTTCGCTCTATCACTTTTATTCATGCTTCCAACGATAAGTTTAATTTACATCATTTTATATATAGCAATAGTTATCGCTTCGAATATTGCAACATTAGAGAAGAGCGCTTTAACGATAAATAATATAATTTATATTTTTAACTTTTTGCTCACAATTAATAATTCAAAACGCGCAGTTAATTTTACATTCGTTGAAGTTTCGATACCTACATGATTGATAGCTATTACGTGTATAATTCATGACACGATATTTTGCAAATATTTATGAATCGTTAGATACATCACGTTTTACAGGATTTCTCTTCAAAGTTCAGTTTTACATTTTAAGCATGTATAAGTAAGAACTATATATGATTTTAACATTTACATGTAATTTCGAAATTTATTGTTGCATACTTTTGTTGCTGCCTTTTAGCTACGTATTCTATTTATCGTTCCAATATCTCGGTAAGCACGAAATTCGCGTCGTAATACGATATCTTAACATTTTACAATGTTTTTTATATCACGTACATACGCATACACACACACACACACACATACACATATATATATAATATCAAATATTTATGATGCAGATATAAAAACGTAAAAAATTTGACATGCTTAATACAGTAAAACTGCTTATGTTTTTAAAAGAATTTCTCAACATTCATATCTCCGAAAATTGCAGTTTGGACATAAATTGTTTCCAATTAATTATTAACAGTCGCAGTCGCGAGGAAGAACGCATTGGTTCCGCTTGTTTTTCAAGAACCCGTGTTTACACCGACAACCGGGGATGCAGATCTGAAAAGTTAGCAGGAATTAATTATTTAATGTACTCCTAATCTATATCCTAATATATTTCTTCATTATATATCTCGTTTTTGGCAATTTAAATTTTGTGTGATATTATATAATAGATATTATTAAATAGTTACACATTTTAACTCGATGGAAGTTATTGGCTGTAAATTAAATTCGCATCTTTAACACACATATTATTTACATTTGAAGTAACGTAAGAAACTAGTTATTTTCCAAAAAAGTCATCTCGAACAAGATAAAGCTCAAATAAAATAAATAGCATTATTTACATCAGGACAAACTGTTGGCTTCATTTGTCCACAAGCTGGAGAACACAATGAATTGCAATCGGTCCATTCTTCATTTTTTCCACATTTCTTCTTTTCAGATTCCTTTCCCGGTAAATCCGAGCCCAGAACGGCTGCAACGATTATTTATTATCACACTGCTCATCTTTATCCGTGTGAACAGAAATTGATAGTTTTCAATAATTTATAAGTAAGTATTTGCATCATTGTTAAAGAGACGATAAAGACGTTAAAGACGAGAGAGATGTTAAAGTGAAACGGAAGATGCAAAATTAATAAATAGCGATATCTGATAATTGTCGAATAAAACGCGCCGTAATTTAAATAGATCGAGATAATTAGCGTATTTGTATGTCGCAGGAATATACTTATATGTTCAAGCACACACGATGAAACTTACTCGATAGTACTGCGACAACGACCAGAAGAACGAAAACAATACGAGACATAATTGGCGTTTCGGCCGCGACACGATTTTATACTGCTTTGGTGTATACGGAGCGATACAATCGCATCGATATCAGTCCCTGCTTTATATATGTTTTCTGCTTCAATCTTTTATTATCTTTCGTATTTCTACCATCGTTTATGTTTCATGCAGGAAACACTTAAAACAATGTTCGGTTATTGCCAAATGTTTACCTTAACTGTGGATACTTTACACAGATAGTATATTTTCGAATTTTTCCGATCTCAGTTGATGATAAGCCATTATTGTTTCACATCGCAGTGGAAATTTTTCTTCTCAAACAATCGTTATGAAAAAAATACGTTTTATCGTGTACATTTTATATTTTACGTAAAATTAGATGAAATCAGGCAAAGTGAGAAGGCAATGAGAGAAAAATTATATATTTCTTTTAACATGGAAAATCCGTTGGTAATGTCTCGCGTATTTCATACAGAAAAATATTTTGAATAATTGCTAAGGTAACTTTTTACTTGCTGCATAAAATTAATTTCAGACTAATGTATGTAACATCTAATCTAATGTGCGATCACGTGTGCCCTTTTATAATATATATTTTGAATTGTCACAAGTAAATGTACGGATTGTTGCATTGGCAAACATGATGAATTTATGTGCAGCTACGGATGAAATTTTTATACATGTCATTAAGTTTTTTCTTTCGAATCGCAACGTTGCTAAACAAGTCGGCAGCGACTGACTATTTAAAATATAATTGTGAAATGCAAAATGTAATCGCGGGTTTAAAATCTTTAAAAAAACGTTACGCATATCAATAACACCAATCCTGCTGACGGATTGATTTCCGCTGCCTCGTGGAAACGCACGCGACTTATATAACGTTTAAACCCAACCAGCTAAATATATCACCGAGACAAGCGAAGACAAGCCAGGGTAGGACAAGCAAGAGTAAGACGAGACGTATCGATCTGTTAATGCGCAAGCGACGCTTACTCGTGGCCTTCTCGTAGTTTCATATGTATCGCACGCAGACTTTCAAATCCATTCAAATCACACTCGTCAAGTTAATCTGTTGCGTCACATCTATCCGCGACTGAACCTCATTCGCACGATACAGTTTACAGGAATTTGTAGGAATTCAAAGAAAAGAGGAAACATATAATTTGCAACAACAATAACTCTAACAACGACCGTTATTTCGTTTCATATTTAAGATACAAAGTATCTTGGCCATTTAGATGTCACGTGTTATCATCTCGAGCTAAGTTTAGACTTCAAGGTGGATATGTAAATTTGACGTTAACCTTCTCAGTACCACGTTAGCGACGAATAGAATGAAAAGAAATATCGTGAGAGAAAATGAGAAAATTTTATCCCGTAAATATAAAAAGTTTCCTGCAAAGTGGAAGGCGAAGATATCGCCAGGAAAAAGAAATATTATCATCACTTATCAACGAAGTTGGCAAAGCGTACTTTTCGGATATGAAACTTGATGAATCTGCAGTTTAGATTAATGCGAACAAAAATAAACTTCTAAATATATTCTAACAATAATTCTTGCGAAACAAGATGTGGCAACGAATTAAAATATGTTATGCCACTTTTTCACTCGTTAATTAACATCCGTACTTTGTTTCTTTGTATGTAATACATTAATATTCCTTGAATCGCAGTTCACGCAAATAATGCATAATGTTGCAAGCTATGGAGGAAAAGCAATATGTGTTATCTATGTTGACCTTTATTTTTAACCACTTTGATATATAAAGAAACGTTAAACGTGAATATCTCACAGAATATCAATAGAATAACGCGAAGGAATATCTCGGTAATTTCAATTTCTCATCTGTGTTCAATAAGTAATCGAGTTTATAAACATATAACACCAACTGATAGCAACTAATCTATATTTAGACATTATACAAGCATAACTTTCGGTCCGAATTTTTCCGAGTCGACCTCGGACTTTCGAACATCACTTCAGTAGACGCATGTCTCGTTTGGTATTTAGCACTCATTTTTAGAGACACACTTTCCGTTGCTGTTCAACACAAAATTCTCCTTGCATTGGCAGCCGATTACGCATTTCTGGAAAAAAAAAAAAAGTAGCAAGATATCGATTAAACCAGTTATGACAACTGTAATTGACGATAGATCATTTTGTCAATTCTTTATCGCATAATTATGTCCACTTGAAAAGACTGAGCATCTCGATAGGATCGCCGAATAAAATCTAATGAATCAATAACAATACCAGTATGCAAGGTTTAGGATGATTAGGATCCGTGTCACAGCGCTCCGGACATGCTGATCCACAAGTGGTCCATTCTTGATTTTCCGGACATGACTCAGAATCTTGTGAGGTAGCCGTGCCTGCACATATGCAATATTACGTAAATAATTGCGGGTTCACCGACGACGTAGAGGTTAAAATTGAAACAAACACATATGCACGACAAGTTATTCACTAAAACTCAAGCCGAGATGAAGAATTGTTATTTACGCTCTGCGAAAACTTACTGAAAAGCACCGCGATCGCAACGAGCAATACGAGACTAACGCGCGACATTATAATGCGTGAGACGATCCGATGCTTTATTCTAACGATTCTAGACTGTTATGACCTGTGAGATACGAGATACGAGGCTTTATATCCTGTACCATTTGTTAACACATCCATAGTTCTCCATCATCGTCGGTTCGCGCCTCGAAGATAGTTGCTATTATCTAACTGATGCGTCATTCAAAAATCGTCATGCTCTTATGCATGCACATGTTAAAAAGTGCGCTTGTTTGTAACGATAGCGTGAATCGTTTCGAGCACATTCCGATATGAAGTGAAGCTTTTTTATAATAAAGCGACGACTTATTTTAGTAATGAAGTTTTGTTGTAAGGAAACATCCTTGCGCTTGCTCTTGTGTCTGTTTTACCGCTCGTCGTATTTTGAATTGAATTCGAATTCATTAAAGCCCTTTTATTATTTTATTTTTTTAGCCGTTTTACAGTTTTATTATTATTATACTACGCACGCGCAGTTTGCACTTTTGGCTCGGGTATATGCTTAATGAATATTTGTGTTTTCTCTCTTGTATGCAATACTTTAACATTCTTTGCACCGTAGTTTACGCAAATATTACATAATGTTTTAGGGTGTTGGAAAAATTAGAAAACTAGCTACATATGTGTCATATATCAGTCTTTATTTTCAACCACTTTGGTGTACAAAGAAACGGTAAATATGAACATCCCACGGAATCTTAACAGAATAAGACAAAGGAATATGTCTTGGTAATTGTAATTTCTCATATATTCAATAAGTATAATCAAGTATAATAATATATATAATAATAATAATAATAAGTGTAATAAGTAAAATATAATAATAAGTAATCAAGTGTATAAACATATGCCGATTACGTTTGACAACAACTAATCTATATTTAGACATCGCACAAGCATAAGTTTCGGTCTAGATTTTTCCAAGTCGACCTCAGAATTTCGAACATCACTTCAGTTAGTGCATATCTCGGTTTGGGTACGTGCACTTCTCAGGACGAACACATCTTCCCTTGCGATCCCTTCCTGCAGAAGCAGCCGAGTACACATTGCTGAAAAAAAAATTGCAAGACACCGATAAAACCCATTATGATAATTATATTTGACAAGATGTCATGTTGTCAGTTGTCGATCACATAACTATGTCTACTTCAAAACCGAGCGACTCGGTGGGATCGTCGAATAAAATCTAATAAATCGATAACAATACCAGTGTGCATGATGGGTTGGGATCTGAGTAATTGTCTCAGGTCAGCGGACATGCTGTTTCACAATCGAGCCATTCTTGAAGTGCCGTCGGGCACTTCCGAGGATTTTGCGGAGTAATTGTGTCTGTATGCAATATTACATAATGTAATTGCGAATTCACCCACAACGTTAAGATTATAATCGAAGCAAACAGATATACACGACAGGTGATTCACTAAAACTCAAACCGAGATGAAGAATTGTTATTTATGTTCTGACCGAAACTTACTGAAAAACATCACGATCGCAGCGAGTAATACGATGCTTTATTTTAGCGATTCTTGATTGCCATGTAAGATACAAAATGCACCTTTATATACTGTGCCATTTATGAACAATATATCATTTGTTAACAATCTATAATTTCCTATTATTATCTTCGGTTTGCGTTTCCAAGATAGGTGCTACTAACTATATACTTTCGAAAATTGTCATGCTCTTATGCACGCGCATGTTAAAAAAGCAATTGTTTGTAACGATAGCGTGAATTGCTTCAAGTGTATTCTGACATGTGAAGTGAGATTTATTTTATAACGAAGCAGCGACTTATCAGTAATGGAGTTTCATTGTTATTAAAAATCGTCGTGTTTGTTCTTATATATGTTTTACCGCTCGTCGCATTTTGCATTGAATTCGTTCAATCCGTTTTATTAAACTGCACGCGCACAGTTTGCACTTTCGGCTCGGGTATGTGCTTAATTAATATCTGTGTTTCCTTTTCTTGTATGCAATACGTTGACATTCCTTGAAACACAATTCACGCAAATGTTGCACAGTGTTTTACGGTATGAAAGATAAGCAACATATGTATCATCTATGTCAGTCTTTATTTTTAACCACTTTGATGTACAAAGGAACATTAAATGTGATCATCTCATATAATAGTAGAATAAGACGAAGAAACACACATCTCGGTAACTTTAATTTCTCATCTATTCAATAATCGAGTTAAATAATCGAGTTTATAAACATATATCAACTACGTCTGATAGCAACTAATCTATATTTAGGCATAACTTTCGATCCGAATTTTTCCAAGTCGACCCCGGAATTCCGAACATCACTTCAGTTCAGGTACGTATCTCAGTTTGGATTTTAGCAATTTTCTGGAGCAACACATTCTCCGCTGCTGTTCAACACATATTCCTGCTTGCACTGGCAGCCGCATTGCTGAAAAAAAATGGCAAAATACTGATTAAACCCGTTATGATAACTATAATTGACAAAATATTGGCGTTTTTCCCGATAGATGGCGTCAATTGTAAATAACTCAGGAAACACAGATCGCAGCGACACCACTAAACGCTCGTTGGAAAGGTGACGCTTCGAGCGTTACTTTGAGTGTACAAACATCGAAATTGGTGTAGTGGTTGGAAAGTTGTTTGCGTTTGAAAATGGAGAAAAGTAATGAAAAATTGCGCTATATTTTTACGACAATATTATTACGACAAAGGGAAGAACGCTGCGCAGGCTTGTGAAAAAATTTGTGCTGTGTACGGTGAAGGTACTTTATCAAAATCTACTGCGCGGAAATGGTTCGCTCGCTTTCGTTCTGGTAATTTTGATGTGAAAGATGAGTCACGCTCTGGTCGTCCAATCACTGAAAAAGCTGATGAAATTCTTGAAAAAGTCCAGCAAGATAAGCATATCAGCAGTGTCGATATTGGTATGGAGCTAGGCATGGACCACAAAACTGTTTTGAACCATTTACACAAAGCTGGCTACAAAGAGAAGCTCGATGTATGGGTTCCTCATGAGTTGAGCGCGAAAAACATGATAGACCGAATTAACATCTGCGATGCGCTGCTGAAACGCAATGAAATCGAGCCATTTCTGAAACGTGTCATAACCGGTGATGAAAAATGGATCACGTACGACAATCGGAAGCGTCAAAGATCGTGGATAAGGGATGGTGAGCCGTCACAAGCGTTCGCGAAGCCAGGATTGACGCCGAAAAAGATGATGCTGTGTGTGTGGTGGGACTGGAAGGGAATCGTCCACCATGAGCTACTTCCAGTTGGTCAGACGATTGATTCTCAACTCTACTGTGGACAACTAGAGAGATTACGCCAGGCAATTGAAAGAAAACGGCCCGAATTGAATAATAAGAAAGGTGTTGTCTTCCATCATGACTACGCCCGACCACACACTTCTTTGATGACCCGTCAAAAATTGCGAGAGCTTGGTTGGGAAGTTTTGATGCATCCACCGTATAGTCCAGACGTAGCACCCTCTGACAATCACTTGTTCCGATCTCTGCAGAACTCTCTCATTGGAATTAAGTTGGTTTCAAAAGAAGCCTGTTAAAACCACTTGATTCAGTTTTTCAACCAGAAACCACAGAAGTTCCTCACCGATGGCATCATGGCTCTACTCGAGAAATGGCGAAACATTGTCGATAATAATGGAGCGTATTTGGTTTAAATAAATTCATTTTCACACTATAAGAAAGCCAGTTGAATTTTACGAAGAAAACGCCACGAACTTTTTCCCAGACCCAATATTATTTTGGCAATTCTTGATTGCAGCATTATGTCTACTTGAAAATCGAGCGACTCAGTGGGATTGTCGAACAAGATCTAATAAATCGATAACAATACCATTGTGCAAGGTGCAGAATCCGTGGCACAGGTCCGCACACATGCTGTTCCACATGCGATCCATTCTTGATTTTCCGCGCATTGCAGAGGATTTTGCGAGGTGGGCTTGCCTGCGCATATGCAATATTGCGTAAGTAATTGCTGGTTTACCGACGACGCTGAGATTAAAATTGAAACAAGCACATATCCACGACGACAAGTTATTCACTAAAACTCAAGCCAAGATGAAGGATTGTTATTTATGCTCTGCGAAAACTTACTGAAGAGCACCGCGATCGCAACGAGCAATACGAGACTAGCGCACGACATTATAAGGAGTGTGACGATCCAGTGCTTTACTCTAGCGATTCTTCACTGTTGTGACTTGTGAGATATGCTGCTTTATATACTGTGCCAATTATTAATACATCCATAATTTTCCAACATCGTCGGTTTCCGCCTGGAGCTGCTGTTATGTAACCTCTGCGTGATTCAAAAATTGCTCTTATGTATGCACATGTTAAAGAGTACGCTTGTTTGTAACGATAGCGTGAATTGTTTCGAGCACATTCTGATATGAAGTGAAGCTCTTTTATAATAAAGCAGCGACATATCATTAATGAAGTTTTGTTGTAAGTAAATATCGTTGCGTTCGCTCTTACGTGTGTTTTACTGCTCGTCGTATTTTGAATTCGAATTCGAATTCGTTAAATCCGTTTTATTAGACTACACGCGCGCAGTTTGCACTTTTGGCTCGGATATGTCCTTAATTAATGTCTGTGTTTTGTTTCTTTACACGTAGTACATTAATATTCTTTGAGCCACAATTCACGCAAATATTGCATAATGTCTTAGGATAAGGTGGACAAGTAACATATATGTCATTTTAGTTAGTCTTTATTTTTAACCACTTTTTTTTTTTTACCAAGTAACATTAAATATGAACATCTCACAGAATATTAATAGAATAAGATGAAGGGATATACGTATTGGTAATTTCAATTCTCTCATCTGATGAATAAGTCATCGAGTTTATAATCATACGTCGATTTCGTCTGACAGTAATAAACTAATTTATATTTACGCATCGTACAAGCGTAACTTTCGGTCCGAATTTTTCCGAGTCAACCCCAGAATTTCGAACATTACTTGAGTACATACTATATATATCTCGTTTGGTTTTTAGCATTTCCCGGAACGAACACATCTTTTGTTCCTGTTGAACACATCCATCCTTGCATCGGCAACCGCCTACGCATTCCTGAAGAAAGAAAGAGTGGCAAGACATCGATTAAACCGTCATCGTTATGATGACTATAATTAACAATATATCATTTGGTCAATTCTCGATCGCATAATTACGTCCACTTGAAAAACCGAGCGACTCGGTGGGATCGTCGAATAAAATCTAATCAATTGATAACAATACCGAGGTGCAAGTTCCCTCAGGGTATAACAGGACGGCGGACGTACTGTTCCACAAGTGACCCATTCTTGATTTTCCGGATATTCCTCAAGACATTGCGGAGTAGTTGTGCCTGCATATATTTAATATTATGTAAATAATTGCGGGTTCACCGACGACGTAGAGATTAAAATTGAAACAAACACATATACACGACAGGTTAATCACTAAAACTCAAGCCGAGATGAAGAACTGTTATTTACTCTCTGCAAAAACTTACTGAAAAGCACCGCGATCGCAACGAGCAATACGAGATTAGCGCGCGATATTTCGCACGTGTAACGATCCGATGCTTTATTCTAGCGATTCTGGACTGGAATGATCTGTGAGATACGAGTTACTTTATATGCTGTTTTATATACTGCGCCATTTGTTAACACATCCATAATTCTCCATCATCGTCGGTTTGCGCCTCGAGGATAGTTGCTATTATCTAACCTGTGCGTCATTCAAAAATTATCATTCTCTTCTTAAGTATGCGCATATTAAAAAAGTGCACTCATTTCTAATGAAAACGTCAGTCGTTCCAAGCACATTCTAACATGAAGTAAGGCTAGTTCATAATAAAGCAACATAATAATAAAATATAAGTATATCAGTATAGAGTTTTGTTGTGAGTAAACATCGTTGCGTTCACTCTTATGTGTGTTTTACCGTTTGCTGCATTTTGAATTGAATTTGTATTCGTTAAATCCGTTTTATTAAATTACGCGCGCGCAGTTTGCATTTTTGGCTCGGGTATGTTCTTAATTAATATCTGTCTTTTGTTTCCTTATATGTAATACGTTAATATTCCTTGCCCGTTTGCAGGTCACGCAAATATTGCATATGTTTCAGGATGGTGAAAACAAGCAACGTATGTGTCATCTATGTTAGTCTTTATTTTTGACCACTTTGGTGCACAAAGAAACATCAAATGTAAATATCTCACAGAATATTAATAGAATAAGATGAAGGAATATACGTCTTGGTATAATTTCAGTTTCTCATCTGTCGAATAAGTTATCGAGTTTATAATGCCGATTACGTCAGACAGCAACTAATTTATATTTACACATCGTACAAGCATAACTTTCGCTCCGAATCTTTCCGAGTCGATCCAAGAATGTCGAACATCACTTCAGCATGTCTCGTTTGGTATTTAGCACTCATTTTTAGGGACACACTTTCCGTTGCTGTTCAACAAAGTTCCCGGCTTGCATTCGCACCCGGATACGCATTCCTGGAAAAAAAGTTGTGAGATATCGATTAAATCCGTTAATATAATTAGAATTAATAACAAACAAATATCATTTGTCAATTGTTGATCGCATAACTATGCCCACTTGAAAACAAGGCGACTCGGTGGGATCGTCGAACAAAATCTAATAAATTGATAACAATACCTTGTATTCGCAAACTTTGTAATCTATTTCACAGGACGGCGGTCCACATGATGATACACAAAGGACCAATTCTTGACCTTACGGGTATTGCTCAGGACTTTGCGAAGTAGCCGTGTCTGCACATATGCGATATTAGGTGAATAATTGCGGGTTCATCGACGACGTAGAGGTTAAAATGGAAACAAACATATATGCACGACAAGTTAATCACTAAAACTTAGGTCGAGATGAAGAATCGTTATTTACGCTCTGCGAAAACTTACTGAAAAGCACCGCGATCGCAATACCAGCAATACGAGACATTACGTAACGATCTGATGCTTTATTCTAGCGATTCTGGGTTGCTAGATTGCTGATCCGTGAGATACGAGATGTGGCTTTATATAATGTACCATTTGTTAACACATCCATAATTCTCCATCATCGTCGATTTGCACCTCGAACATAGTTGCTATTACCTAACCGGTGCGTCAATCAAAAGTCATGCTTTTAAGTATGCACATGTCAAAAAGTGCGCTTGTTTGTAAGCGCATAGCGTGAGTCGTTCCTAGCACATTCCAATATGATGTGATGCTTTTTTTTAATAAATAGCGATATATCGGTAATGAAATTTGGTTGTGAGTAAACATCGTTGCGTCCGCTCTTATATTTTACCACTTGTCGTATTTTGAATCGAATTCGAATTCGTTAAATCCGTTTCATTAAACTGCGCGCGCGTAGTTTGCACTATTGGCTCGGGTATGTTCTTAATTAATATCTGTCTTTTGTTTCTTTACGCGTAGTACATTAATATTCTTTGAGCCACAATTCACGCAATATTGCATATGTTTCAGGGTGGTGAAAACAAGCAACATATGTGTCATCTATGTTAGTCTTTATTTTTAACCACTTTGGTGTACAAAGAAACGTTAAATGTAAACATCTCACAGAATATTAATATCATAGAATAAGACGAAGGAATGTACGTCTTGGTAATTTCAATTTCTTATATATTCAGTAAGTACTCAAGTGTAAACATATGCCGATTACGTCTGACAGCAACTAATCTATACTTAGGTATCGTATAAGCATTTCGGTCCGAATTTTTCCGAGTCGACCCAAGAATGTTGAACATCACTTCAGTAGAAGCATGTCTCGTTTGGTATTTAGCACTGACTTGGAGGAACACATTCTCCTCTACTGTTCAACAAAAGTCCTGGCCTGCATTGACAGCCGATTACGCATTGCTGGAAAGAAAGTAGCAAGATATCGATTAAACCCGTTATGACAACTATAATTGACAAAATATCATTTTGTCGATTCTTGTTCGCATAACTATGTCCATTTGAAAACCGAGCGACTCGGTGGGATCATCGAATAAAGTCTAATAAATCGGTAACAATACCAATGTGCAAACTTGATCAGGGCGTGAGTTACAGGACGGCGGACATGCTGATCCACAAGTGGTCCATTCTTGATTTGGCGGGCATCGCCGAGCACTTTGTGAGGTAGCCGTGCCTGCACATACGCAATATTACGTAAATAATTGCGGGTTCACCGACGACGTAGAGGTTAAAATTGAAACAAACACATATGCGCTACAAGTTATTCACTAAAACTCAAGCCGAGATGAAGAATTGTTATTTACGCTCTGAAAACTTACTGAAAAGCACCGCGATCGCAACGAGCAATACGAGACTAGCGCGCGACATTGTAACACGTGTGATGATCCGATGCTTTATTCTAGAGATTCTCGACTGCTATGGCCTGTGCGATACGAGATGCGGCTTTATATACTGTGCCATTTGTTAACACATCCATAATTCTCCATCATCGTTTGCGTCTCCATCCAACATCGATTTGCGCCTCGTAGATAGTTGCTATTATCTAACCGATGCGTCATTCAAAAATCGTCATGCTCTTGTGCATGCATATATTGAAATATATGCATTTACTTGTAACGATAGCGTGAATCGTTTCAAGTATATTCTGATATGAAGCAAGGCTTTTTTTAAAAATAAAGCAGCGATATGTTAGTAATGAAGTTTTGTTATGAATAAACGTCGTTGCGTCCGCTCTTGTGTGTGTTTTACCGCTCGTCGGATTTTGAATCGAATGCGAACTCGAATTTATTCTGCGCGCTTGCACTCTTGGCTCGGGTATATCCTTAATTAATATCTGTGTTTTGTTTTCCTTATATGTAATACGTTTAGTATTCCTTCTCAGTTCACGCAAATATTGCATAATATTGTAGGATGTGGAAGACAAGCAATATATGTGTCATCTACGTTAATTTCTATTTTTAATCACTATGTTAGTCTTTATTTTTTATCATTTTGGTGTACAAGGAAATGTTAAATGTGAATATTTCACAGAATATTAATAGAATAAGATGAGGAAATATACGTCTTGATAATTTCAGTTTCTCATATATTCAATAAGTAATCAAGTGTAAACATATGCCGATTACGTCTGACAGCAACTAATCTTTTACTTAGGTATCGTATAAGCATTTCGGTCCGAATTTTTCCGAGTCGACCCAAGAATGTTGAACATCACTTCAGTAGATGCATGTCTCGTTTGGTATTTAGCACTCGCTTGGAGAAACACAGCCTCCTCTACTGTTCAACAAAAGTCCTTGCCTGCATTGACAGCCGATTATGCATTGCTGGAAAGAAAGTAGCAAGATATCGATTAAACCCGTTATGACAACTATAATTGACAAAATATCGTTTTGTCGATTCTTGTTCGCATAACTATGTCCATTTGAAAACCGAGCGACTCGGTGGGATCATCGAATAAAATCTAATAAATCGGTAACAATACATATGTGCAAAATTGAGGATTTGGTTCAGTGCAGGACGGCTGACATGCTGATCCACAAGTGGTCCATTCTTGATTTGGCGGGCATTGATTTTGTGACGTAGCCGTGCCTGCACATACGCAATATTACGTAAATAATTGCGAGTTCACTGACGACGTAGAGGTTAAAATTGAAACAAACACATATGCACTACAAGTTATTCACTAAAACTCAAGCCGAGATGAAGAATTGTTATTTACGCTCTGCGAAAACTTACTGAAAAGCACCGCGATCGCAACGAGCAATACGAAACTAGCGCGCGACATTGTAACATGTGTGATGATCCGATGCTTTATTCTAGAGATTCTCGACTGCTATGGCCTGTGAGATACGAGATGTGGCTTTATATACTGTGCCATTTGTTAACACATCCATAATTCTCCAACATCGATTTGCGCCTCGTAGATAGTTGCTATTATCTAACCTATGCGTCATTCAAAAATCGTCATGCTCTTATGCATGCATATATTAAAATATATGCGTTTGTTTGTAACGATAGCGTTTCAAGTACATTCTGATATGAAGTAAGGCTTTTTTTAAAAATAAAGCAGCGATATGTTAGTAAGGAAGTTTTATTATGAGTAAACGTCGTTGCGTCCGCTCTTGTGTGTGTTTTACCGCTCGTCGTATTTTGAATCGAATGCGAACTCGAATTTATTCTGCGCGCTTGCACTCTTGGCTCGGGTATATCCTTAATTAATATCTGTGTTTTGTTTTCCTTATATGTAATACGTTTAGTATTCCTTCTCAGTTCACGCAAATATTGCATAATATTGTAGGATGTGGAAGACAAGCAATATATGTGTTATCTACGTTAATTTTCATTTTTAATCACTATGTTAATCTTTATTTTTTATCATTTTGGTGTACAAGGAAATGTTAAATGTGAATATTTCACAGAATATTAATAGAATAAGATGAGGAAATATACGTCTTGATAATTTCAGTTTCTCATATATTCAATAAGTAATCAAGTGTAAACATATGCCGAATACATCTGACAGCAACTAATCTATACTTAGGTATCGTATAAGCATTACGGTCCGAATTTTTCCGAGTCGATCCCAGAATTTCGAACATCACTTCAGTAGATGCATGTCTCGTTTGGTATTTAGCACTCGCTTGGAGAAACACAGTCTCCTCTACTGTTCAACAAAAGTCCTTGTCTGCATTGACAGCCGGTTATGCAGTTCTGGAAAGACAAGTTGTAAGATATCGATTAAACCCGTTAATATATCTATAATTAACAAAATATCATTTTGTTAACACTTGATCGCATAACCATGTTCACTTGAGAACAAGACGACTCCGTAGGATCGTCAAATAAAATCTAATAAATCGGTAACAATACATATGTGCAAAATTGAGGATTTGGTTCAGTGCAGGACGGCGGACATGCTGATCCACAAATGATCCATTCTTGATTTTCTGGGCATTGATTTTGTGAGGTAGCCGTGCCTGTATATACGCAATATTACGTAAATAATTGCCAGTTCACTGACGACGTAGAGGTTAAAATTGAAACAAACACATATGCACTACAAGTTATTCGCTAAAACTCAAGCCGAAATGAAGAATTGTTATTTACGCTCTGCGAAAACTTACCGAAAAGCACCGCGATCGCAACGAGCAATACGAGACTAGCGCGCGACATTGTAACACGTGTGATGATCCGATGCTTTATTCTAGAGATTCTCGACTGCTATAGCCTGTGCGATACGAGATGCGGCTTTATATACTGTGCCATTTGTTAACACATCCATAATTTTCCAACATCGATTTGTGCCTCGTAGATAGTTGCTATTATCTAATCGATGCTTCATTCAAAAATCGTCATGCTCTTGTGCATGCATATATTGAAATATATGCATTTACTTGTAACGATAGCGTGAATCGTTTCAAGTACATTCTGATATGAAGTAAGGCTTTTTTTAAAAATAAAGCAGCGATATGTTAGTAATGAAGTTTTGTTACGAGTAAACGTCGTTGCGTCCGCTCTTGTGTGTGTTTTACCGCTCGTCGTATTTTGAATCGAATGCGAACTCGAATTTATTCTGCGCGCTTGCACTCTTGGCTCGGGTATATCCTTAATTAATATCTGTGTTTTGTTTTCCTTATATGTAATACGTTTAGTATTCCTTCTCAGTTCACGCAAATATTGCATAATATTTTAGGATGTGGAAGACAAGCAATATATGTGTCATCTACGTTAATTTTTATTTTTAATCACTATGTTAGTCTTTATTTTTTATCATTTTGGTATACAAGGAAATGTTAAATGTGAATATTTCACAGAATATTAATAGAATAAGATGAGGAAATATACGTCTTGATAATTTCAGTTTCTCATATATTCAATAAGTAATCAAGTGTAAACATATGCCGATTACATCTGACAGCAACTAATCTATACTTAGGTATCGTATAAGCATTTCGGTCTGCATTTTTCCGAGTCGACCCAAGAATGTTGAACATCACTTCAGTAGAAGCATGTCTCGTTTGGTATTTAGCACTGACTTGGAGAAACACAGTCTCCTCTACTGTTCAACAAAAGTCCTTGTTTGCATTGACAGCCGATTACGCAGTTCTGGAAAGACAAGTTGTAAGATATCGATTAAACCCGTTAATATATCTATAATCAACAAAATATCATTTTGTTAACTCTTGATCACATAACTATGTCCACTTGAGAACAAGACGACTCCGTGGGACCGTCAAATAAAATCTAATAAATTGATAACAATACCGCAGTGCAGACTTGAGGATTTGGTTCAGTGCAGGACGGCGGACATGCTGATCCACAAGTGGTCCATTCTTGATCTTCCGGGCATTGATTTTGTGAGGTAGCCGTGCCTGCACATACGCAATATTACGTAAATAATTGCGAGTTCACTGACGCCGTAGAGGTTAAAATTGAAACAAACACATATGCGCTACAAGTTATTCACTAAAACTCAAGCCGAGATGAAGAATTGTTATTTACGCTCTGCGAAAACTTACTGAAAAGCACCGCGATCGCAACGAGCAATACGAGACTAGCGCGCGACATTGTAACACGTGTGATGATCCGATACTTTATTCTAGAGATTCTCGACTGCTGTGGCCTGTGAGATACGAGATGCGGCTTTATATACTGTGCCATTTGGTAACACATCCATAATTCTCCATCATCGTTTGCGCCTCCATCCAACAACGATTTGCGCCTCGTAGATAGTTGCTATTATCTAACCGATGCGTCATTCATAAATCGTCATGCTCTTGTGCATGCATATATTAAAATATATGCGTTTACTTGTAACGATAGCGTGAATCGTTTCAAGTACATTCTGATATGAAGTAAGGCTTTTTTTTTAAATAAAGCAGCGATATGTTAGTAATGAAGTTTTGTTATGAATAAACGTCGTTGCGTCCGCTCTTGTGTGTGTTTTACCGTTCGTCGTATTTTGAATCGAATGCGAATTCGAATTTGTTAAATCCGTTTCATGAAACTGCGCGCTTGCTTTTGGCTCGGGTATATCCTTAATTAATATCTGTGTTTTGTTTTCCTTATATATAATACGTTTAGTATTCCTTCTCAGTTCACGCAAATATTGCATAATATTTTAGGATGGGGAAGACAAGCAATATGTGTCATCAACGTTAATTTTTATTTTTAATCACTATGTTAGTCTTTATTTTTTATCATTTTGGTGTACAAGGAAATGTTAAATGTGAATATTTCACAGAATATTAATAGAATAAGATGAGGAAATATACGTCTTGATAATTTCAGTTTCTCATATATTCAATAAGTAATCAAGTGTAAACATATGCCGATTACATTTGACAGCAACTAATCTATACTTAGGTATCGTATAAGCATTTCGGTCCGAATTGTTCCGAGTCGACCCCAGAATTTCGAACATCATTTCAGTAGATGCATGTCTCGTTTGGTATTTAGCACTCGCTTGGAGAAACACAGCCTCCTCTACTGTTCAACAAAAGTCCTCGCCTGCATTGACAGCCGATTACGCAGTTCTGGAAAGACAAGTTATAAGATATCGATTAAACCTGTTAATATATCTATAATTAACAAAATATCATTTTGTTAATACTTGATCGCATAACCATGTTCACTTGAGAACAAAACAACTCGGTGAAATAGTCGAATAAAATCTAATAAATTGATAACAATACCGCAGTGCAGACTTGAGGATTTGGTTGAGTGCAGGTCGGCTGACATGCTGATCCACAAGTAGTCCATTCTTGATTTGGCGGGCATCGCCCAGAACGTTGTGAGGTAGCCGTGCCTGCACATTACGTAAATAATTGCAATATTACGTAAATAATTGCGGGTCCATCGACGACGTAGAGATTAAAATTGAAAGGAACACATATGCACGACAAGTTATTCACTAAAACTCAAGCCGAGATGAAGAATTGTTATTTACACTCTGCGAAAACTTACTAAAAAGCACCGCGATCGCAACGAACAATACGAGAATAGCGCGCGACATTGTAACGCGTGTGATGTTCCGATGCTTTTTTCTAGAGATTCTTGACTGCTGTGGTCCGTGAGATACAAGATGCACCTTTATATACTGTGGCATTTCTTAACACATCCATAATTCTCCATCATCGTCGGTTTGCGCTTCGGGGATAGTTGCTACTATTTATATACGCATCATTCAAATTCGTCATGCTCTTATGCAATCATATGTTGAGAGGTCCACTATTTTATGATAATAGCGTGCGTCGTTTCAAGTACTTTCTGATATGAAGTAAAGCTTTTTTATACTAAAGCAGCAACATATTAGTAATGATGTTTTGTTGTGAGTAATAATAATTGTTGCATTCGCTCTTATGTATGTTTTTGTTTTAACGCTCATCGTATATCCAATTGAATTCGAATCTGTTTGATTAAACTGCACGTATACAGTTTGCACTTTTGGCTCGAGTATGTTCTTAATTAATATCTGTCTTTTGTTTCCTTATATGTAATACGTTAATATTCCTTGCTCGGCAGTTCACGCAAATATTGCATATGTTTCAGGATGGTGAAAACAAACAACGTATGTGTCATCTACGTTAGTCTTTATTTTTTATCATTTTGGTGTACAAGGAAACGTTAAATGTGAATATCTCACAGAATATCAATAGATTAAGGCGAGAAAACATACGTCTCGATGATTTCAATTTCTTACATGTTCAATAAGTCATCGAATGTATAACCATATGTCTATTACGTCTGATAGCAACTAATCTATATTTAGGCATTATACAAGCATAACTTTCGGTCCGAATTTTTCCGAGTCGACCCCAGAGTTTCGAACATCACTTCAATAGATACATATCTTGTTTGGTATTTAGCACTGACTTGGAGGAACACATTCGCTTCTACTGTTCAACAGAAATCCATTCTTGCATTGACAGCCGTATATGCAATGCTGGAAAGAAAGTAGCAAGATGTCGATTAAACTCGTTATGATAACTTTAATTGACAAAATATCATTTTGTCAATTCTTGATCGCATAACTGTGTCTGTGTGAAAACCGAGCGACTCGGTGATGTCGTCGAATATAATCTAATAAATCGGTAACAATACCAACGTGCAAGCTGGATTGGAGTCATTACAGAGCGGCGGACATGGTGATCCACAAGTGATAAAATTTTGATTTGGCCCGCATTCCTGACCTTGCGTAGTTGTGCCTGCACATACGCAATATTACGTAAATAATTGCGGGTTCACCGACGACGTAGAGGTTAAAATTGAAACAAACACATATGCACTACAAGTTATTCACTAAAACTCAAGCCGAGATGAAGAATTGCTATTTACGCTCTGCGGAAACTTACTGAAAAGCACCACGATCGCAACAAATAATACGAGACTACCGCGCGACATTGTAACGCGTGTGACAATCCGATGTATTATTCTAATGATTCTTGACTGCTATGGCTTGTGGGGTACAAAATGCACCTTTATATATTCTGCCAGTTGTTAACAATATTCTCTGTTAACAATCTATAATTTTCTATCGTCGGTTTGCGCTTGGAAGATAGTTGCTACTATTTACAAATGCGTCATTAAAAAATTGTCATGCTCTTATGCATGCGCATGTTAACAAATGCGCTTGTTTATAACGGTAGCGTAAATTGTTTCAAGGGCATGTGAAATGAGGCTTATTTTATAACGAAACAGCGACTTATCGATAATGGAGTTTCGTTGTTATTGAAGGTCATCGCGTTCTTCTGTGTGCTTCGCTGCTCGTCGTATTTTGCGTTGAATTCGAATACGTTAAATCTATTTTATTAAACTGCGCGCGCGCAGTTTGCACTTTAGGTTCGGTATGTGCTTAATTAATATCTGTGTTTTCTATTCTTGTATGTGATACGTTAACATTCCTTGAACCGCAGTTCACGCAAATATTGCATAATATTGTAGGGTGCGTGAGACAAGCAACATATGTACTATCTATATTAACCTTTATTTTTAACCACTTTGATGTACAGAGAAGTTAAGTGTGAATATCTCACAAAATATCAATTTTTTATTTTCTTGATTGCTATGGTTTGTGAGGTACAAAATATACCTTTATATATTTTGCCAATTGTTAACAATATCATTTGTTTACAATCTATAATTTTCTATCATCATCAGTTTGCGCTTCAAAGATAGTTGCTACTGTTTACATATGCCATTAAATGTGTCATTAAAAAATTGTCATGCTCTTATGCATGCGCATATTAACAAGTGCGCTTGTTTGTAACGATAGCGTAAATTGTTTCAAGGGCATGTGAAATGAGACTTATTTTATAACGAAACAGCGACTTATCGGTAATGGAGTTTCGTTGTTATTGAAGGTCATCGCGTTCGTTCTTATGTGTGCTTCGCTGCTCGTCGTATTTTGCGTTGAATTCAAATACGTTAAATCTATTTTATTAAACTGCGCGCGCGCAGTTTGCACTTTAGGTTCGGTATGTGCTTAATTAATATCTGTGTTTTCTATTTTGTATATGATACGTTAACATTCCTTGAACCGCAGTTCACGCAAATATTGCATAATATTGTAGGGTGCGTGAGACAAGCAACATATGTACTATCTATATTAACCTTTATTTTTAACCACTTTGATGTACAGAGAAGTTAAGTGTGAATATCTCACAAAATATCAATTTTTTATTTTCTTGATTGCTATGGCTTGTGAGGTACAAAATACACCTTTATATATTCTGCCAATTGTTAACAATATATTTGTTTACAATCTATAATTTTCTATCATCATCAGTTTGCGCTTGGAAGATAGTTGCTACTATTTACAAATGCGTCATTAAAAAATTGTCATGCTCTTATGCATGCGCATGTTAACAAGTGCGCTTGTTTGTAACGGTAGCGTAAATTGTTTCAAGGGCACGTGAATGAGTCTTATTTATAAGTCACGGACTTATGTGATTTCTTTATTGAAGGCATCGTTGTTTTATTTCCTCTGTTTTGGTATTGTTTAATATGTTACATTAATATACGTTAAATATCTTATATTACGCAATATCTATATTTAGGCTTGGACAAGCATAACTTTATCCGATTTTTAATGATCTAAAGTTTTGAACCACTTCAGTATTCTTTTTATGGTTTGATTAATAATTTTGTTTTATAAATGTTCATGCAGCCATTAGTTGCTGAAAAAGTGAATATGATTAAAAAAACAAAAAAATATCATTGTTTTAATTCTGAAAGGCATCTGTTGCGTAAATTATAACGCATACATGTAAGGATTGTGGTTAGAAGGTCATCGCGCTCTGTTGCTTCCTATCGTCGTATTTTGCGTTGAATTCAAATACGTTAAATCTATTTATTAACTGCCGCCGCAGTTTGCACTTTAGGTTCGGTATGTGCTTAATTAATATCTGTGTTTTCTATTCTTGTATATGATACGTTAACATTCCTTGAACCGCAGTTCACGCAAATATTGCATAATATTGTAGGGTGCGTGAGACAAGCAACATATGTACTATCTATATTAACCTTTATTTTTAACCACTTTGATGTACAGAGAAGTTAAGTGTGAATATCTCACAAAATATCAATTTTTTATTTTCTTGATTGCTATGGTTTGTGAGGTACAAAATATACCTTTATATATTTTGCCAATTGTTAACAATATCATTTGTTTACAATCTATAATTTTCTATCATCATCAGTTTGCGCTTCAAAGATAGTTGCTACTGTTTACATATGCCATTAAATGTGTCATTAAAAAATTGTCATGCTCTTATGCATGCGCATGTTAACAAGTGCGCTTGTTTGTAACGATAGCGTAAATTGTTTCAAGGGCATGTGAAATGAGACTTATTTTATAACGAAACAGCGACTTATCGGTAATGGAGTTTCGTTGTTATTGAAGGTCATCGCGTTCGTTCTTATGTGTGCTTCGCTGCTCGTCGTATTTTGAGTTGAATTCGAATACGTTAAATCTATTTTATTAAACTGCGCGCGCGCAGTTTGCACTTTAGGTTCGGTATGTGCTTAATTAATATCTGTGTTTTCTATTCTTGTATATGATACGTTAACATTCCTTGAACCGCAGTTCACGCAAATATTGCATAGTATTGTAGGGTGCGTGAGACAAGCAACATATGTACTATCTATATTAACCTTTATTTTTAACCACTTTGATGTACAGAGAAGTTAAGTGTGAATATCTCACAAAATATCAATTTTTTATTTTCTTGATTGCTATGGCTTGTGAGGTACAAAATATACCTTTATATATTTTGCCAATTGTTAACAATATCATTTGTTTACAATCTATAATTTTCTATCATCATCAGTTTGCGCTTCGAAGATAGTTGCTACTGTTTACATATGCCATTAAATATGTCATTAAAAAATTATCATGCTCTTATGCATGCGCATATTAACAAGTGCGCTTGTTTGTAACGATAGCGTAAATTGTTTCAAGGGCATGTGAAATGAGACTTATTTTATAACGAAACAGCGACTTATCGGTAATGGAGTTTCGTTGTTATTGAAGGTCATCGCGTTCGTTCTTATGTGTGCTTCGCTGCTCGTCGTATTTTGCGTTGAATTCAAATACGTTAAATCCATTTTATTAAACTGCGCGCGCGCAGTTTGCACTTTAGGTTCGGTATGTGCTTAATTAATATCTGTGTTTTCTATTTTTGTATATGATACGTTAACATTCCTTGAACCGCAGTTCACGCAAATATTGCATAATATTGTAGGGTGCGTGAGACAAGCAACATATGTACTATCTATATTAACCTTTATTTTTAACCACTTTGATGTACAGAGAAGTTAAGTGTGAATATCTCACAAAATATCAATTTTTTATTTTCTTGATTGCTATGGCTTGTGAGGTACAAAATACACCTTTATATATTCTGCCAATTGTTAACAATATAATTTGTTTACAATCTATAATTTTCTATCATCATCAGTTTGCGCTTCGAAGATAGTTGCTACTATCTACATATGCGTCATTAAAAAATTGTTACTCTTATGCATGTGCATGTTAAAAAGTGCGCTTGTTTGTAACGGTAGCGTAAATTGTTTCAAGGGCACGTGAAGTGAGTCTTAATTTATAAGCCTCACGTTGCACGTTAAGTGTGAATATCTCACAAAATATCAATAGAATAAGACAAAGGAACATACGTCTTGATAATTTCAATTTCCCATCTGTTTAATGAGTAATTAAGTATATAACTATGTACCCATACCATATAACCATATACGATATAACCATATACCGATTATATCTGACAGCAACTAATCTATATTTAGGCATTGGACAAGCATAACTTTCGATCCGAATTTTTCCAAGTCGACTCTAAAGTTTTGAACACCACTTCAGGTAGATGTCTCGTTTAATTATGGGCATAGGGTTGAATTAATACAGATTTTGTTGCTGTCCAATACAAAGCCATGTATGCATTGGCAGCCGATTACGCATTGCTGGAAAAAAAGTTGCAAAATATCGATTAAACATATTATGACAACTACAACTGACAAGATATCATTTTGGTAATTTTTCATCGCAGCATTATATCTACTTGAAAACCGGCCGACTCGGTGGCATTGTCGAATAAAATCTAATAAATCGGTAACAATACCAATGTGCAAGCGACTTGTGGTTCGAGGAACGAGTCACAGGTCAGCGGACATGCTGTTCCACAAGTTTCCCATTTTTGATTTTCCAGGCATTCGTGATCTTCTGAGGTAGCCGTGCCTGCACATATGTAATATTACGTAAATAATTGCTGGTTCACTCACGACGTCAAGATGAAAATTGAAACAAACACATTTATACGACAGATCGTTCAGCAAAACTCAAGCCGATATGAAAGATTGATATTACGCTCTGCGAAAAATACTTACTGAAAAGCACCGCGATCGCAGCGAGCAATACGAGACTAGCGCGCGACATTGTAAAGCGCGTGACGATCTGACGTTTTATTTTAGCGATTCTTGACGGCCTGTAAGATACGAAATTCACCTTTATATACTGTACTATTTATTAACAATGTATCATTTGTTAACAATCTATAATTTTCTATTATCGTCGGTTTGTCCTTCGAAGATAGTCGCCACTATCTGTTTATGCATCTTTGGAAAATTGTCATGCTCTTATGCATGCGCATGTTAAGAAGTGCGCTTGTTTGTAACGACAGCGTAAATTGTTTCAAGTGCATTCTGACATGTGAAGTGAGGCTTATTTTATAACGAACCAGCGACATATCAGTAATGGGGTTTCGTTGTTGTTGAAAATTGTCGCGTTTGTTCTTATGTCTGTTTTACCGCTCGTCGTATTTTGAATTGAATTGGAATTCGTTAAATCCGTTTTATTAAACCGCACGCTCGTAGTTTGTACTTTTAGCTCGTGTATGTTTTTAATTAATATCTGTACTTTGTTTCCTTGTATATATAATACGTTAATATTCCTTGAACCGCAGTTCATGCAAATATTGCATAATAATTTAGGAAGCGGAGGACAAGCAACATATGTATCGTCTATGTTAGTCTTTATTTTTAACCACTTTGATGTACAAAAAAAAAGTTAAATGTAAATATCTCACAGAATATCAATAGATTAAGGCGAGAAAACATACGTCTCGATGATTTCAATTTCTTACATGTTCAATAAATCATCGAATGTATAACCATATGTCTATTACGTCTGATAGCAACTAATCTATATTTAGGCATTATACAAGCATAACTTTCGGTCCGAATTTTTCCGAGTCGACCCCAGAGTTTCGAACATCGCTTCAATGGATACATATCTCGTTTGGTTTTCAGCAATTTTGTGGAACAATACATTTTCCGCTACTGTTCAACAGAAATCCATTCTTGCATTGGCAGCCGATTATGCATTGCTGGAAAGAAAGTAGCAAGATGTCGATTAAACTCGTTATGATAACTTTAATTGACAAAATATCATTTTGTCAATTCTTGATCGCATAACTGTGTCTGTGTGAAAACCGAGCGACTCGGTGATGTCGTCGAATATAATCTAATAAGTCGACAACGATACCATTGTGCAAATTTGATCGGAGTCTGTATTACAGGACGGCGGACATGCTGATCCGCAATTGGTCCATTCCTGATTTTCCGGGCATTGCCGAGAATTTTCCGAGGTAGCCGTGCCTGCACATACGCAATATTACGCAAGTAATTGTGACTTCACTGACGACGTTAAAATTAAAATTGAAACAAACACATATACACGACAGATCATTCGCTAAAACTCAAGCCGAGATGAAGGTTTGATATTTACGCGCTGCGAAAAAAAACTTACTGAAAAGTACCGCGATCGCAACGAGCAATATGAGACTAATACGCGGCATTATAACGCGCGTGTGACGATCCGATGTTTTATTCTAGCACTTCTTGACTACTATGGCTTGCGGGGTACAAAATGACCTTTATATACTGCCATTTATTAAAACATCTATAATTCTCTGTCATCGTCGGTTTGCTCTTCGAAGGTAGTTGCTACTACCTATATATGCGTCATTCGAAAATTGTCATATTCTCGTGCTCTTCTGACATGCTTGATACATGCTCTTATACACGCACGTGTTGAAAAGTGCGCTTGTTTGGAACGATAGCGTGAGTTGGTTCAAGTGAACTCTGACATGTGAAGCGAGGCTTATTTTACAACGAAACAGCGATTTATCAGTAATGGAACTTTGTTATTATTGAAAGTCGTCGCGTTCGTTTTTATGTGTGCTTTGCCGCTCGTCGTATTTTCAATTGAATTCGAATTCTTTAAATCTGTCTTATTGAACGATCTGTGATTCACGGAATTTAGGTTCCGAAGCAAAAGTGTGTGAAAAAATTTTAAACATCATGTAGTGTTCAAAACGAAGCCTTCAAAAAAACATTTTGTCTTAGGCCGTATAACCGAAATATTTACATATTTCTTTAAAAATATCACGCACAGTTGTGAAAACAGTGTTTTCACACTGGTAGAATTTTATTTCGAATTTCTTTACGGCTTGTTAATCGCAATTGTTCGTAATCGTGCATAAGTTTAGATTTCCAAAGTAGCTACCATTTCCAACAAGAGAGTCTTAACATTCTCATTGACATATTTTCCGCATCAGTTCCATGCGCCTGTCTTGTTTGTAATTCCTAGACGTGGTATTCCCCGTCTATATGTGTCGGTATTATGTAAACATCTCGTGTTTCCACGCCGATCAACATTATGCCGGCGATCGAAGGTTAAACAGCGAAGGTTGCGAAATCTCGCGTCAATTTGTCGTCGCTGCAATTTCCGAGGCAGCGATTTACTGAGTCACACGCGAGCACTGCTCGCGTCTGGAAATTAGCGATCTGCGCAACAGGAAGCAGCAGACAGGAGGAAGGACCGATTCTCGGCCGTTCTGTCAATCGGGAAATTTCGGGCTTGCAAAACGCGCACGTTGTGTCCACTTTGTCTGAGCGTAAGCTCGCTCAATTCACGACCGCTTCCCCGAATACGCTTTTATCCTAAATGCCATTTTGCCATCGGCGAGATAGCCCGAGTGAATCAGACTGACCCTTCTGCTTCCCTTCCGTTCCTCCTCCTGGCGCACATGGGCTTTTTTTTTTTTATTACGAGTAAAGAGCACGGAGAATCGAATATCCGACTCGAATCGAATTTATTACGACCGGTAAATTTAATTATCGCGGGCGCGCGCAGTTTGCACTTTCGACCCGGATATTTCCTTGAATTGAAGTAACTTGAATCGTTTATTTCGACGAGGCCGTTCGCTGAAATATCGCGGCGGCGATGTTGCGATTTGCAATTCACCGAACGCTAAAGAAACTTCCATCGCGAGCTTCTTTACTCATTTGCGTCAAAACTGAGCTGTTTGCGCAAGAAGAATCTGCTCACGTCTTGTCTCTCAACTATCGAGCCAATTGACGGCCGATTGACGATTATTTGCCCGGTGTCGCTTAGGATTGCGATACAAACGCGTTTCCTCGCGACGGCGACAGCGGTCGCGACGATGGCCGAAGACTTAATTACTCGGAGAATTCGGTGTGTTTATTATCTTATGTTTTATTCTCCATTGTCTCGACTGTCCTATTCGGCATTTCGCGATGCGCCGTGTACGAATTCAACGGCGGGAAACCCGATCGAGGGTTCGTGAGATTCGTCGTCTCATTTTCCTCTTTCCTCTTTGTCGGTCAGTCTTCGATCGCTCTCTTCCATCCTGCTGCACTCTCCGCTCTTATCACATCATTTTCGTTGCCCAACTTTCATATCGAGCGGCGATTAAGTGATAACCGTTGTGACTCTGCTCTACTGACCTCATCGCGATATCGTTGACCGCAGCCGAGCGAATGCCCCTGCTCAATTATTTCGCAAACTAATAAGATTCCGTTTGTCCGATCGGACAAAATTTCAGAATATTCCCGTATCATCTTGAAATTTCCGTCGAGCTACGTGGCACATTCAGTTTGCTTTAGTGTTAGTGAAAAAAACAGAACGTACTCTGCGTGTTGTACGACTGGAATGTTTCACAAGACCAACGAGTCAATAAACTTACTCTGTGTTTATGCAAAATGAGTCATATTGCACCTGTCATACCGATAAGTCGACTCGTAAGTCGAGTAACATGTAGATTAGAATTCTACTACTACGCATTACGTTATAAAGGAGTGTATGTTTGAATGTTTTCTTTTGCAATGCCTGCAAAGAATTAAGAGATAACATTAAATGAGCAAAACTATCGAGCAGTTGTATAAATTGAGAGTTAAATACTAGATTAAATTTAGTCACGTACGAAATAATTGGTTTTGCACTCCGGTATATGTAATTTAATCCTGGAAAGAATTCTTTTTCTTTCTTTTAAGCTACGAAACACGTAACGTCTGCATTTGTTTTAGCCTTGGTGCTTTAAATAGTACAGATATATAATTTGCCAGTTAAAATGGCTGATAATTAAGATGGCTCGATGTATTCAATGTATGCAGGTGCTAAATATAAAACCGCCAAGAAGCCAAATAATTGCCGCGTGATATAATTCATGACATGACGCACAGTAATTTTCTAGTTGCAAAGATCAAGGAAGTTTACGTATCGTTATCAACAGGAGAATTACGAGGAGCCGTCGGCCAAGTAATAATTACTTGGACTTCCCCAAGCGTATGCATATAGATAGCTAAGACGGCTTTATAAATAGAAAGAAATAAAGACATTTTAACGCGTTACTGACGTTGTTATTTGTCTCAACGGCAGGTGCAGAATTAGTTTCAACTGTCGTCGCGGGATAAAAGAGGACAAAAAAGAGACGAAAACAAGGAAAGGAGGAAAAAGAAAGAAAAAGTTCACATTAATAATAACCAACTGTAACAAAGTGTAGGCCGAACTTTCGACGAACAAGATAAAGAATGAGGTTGATAATGGCAGTCTAGGACGCTTATTCTAGCCTCTTTATTGCATTACTCTCGACCATCGTATCGTAACAGCGGACGTACGTGTATCGTCCTCCTTCCTTTTTGTTTACTCTTGGCGCCTCTTCACGGAGCGGTCAAGAAAGTCCGTAATTCAGATAACGTTTATTAATTAGTGTAACATTAATCTAAGAAGAATTATATTAAATTAATAAATGTATTTGAATAGATAACAGGTGTAAAAATTTCATTTCTTTCATTAAACATATTGTAATTATTTATGCTAAAAATAGATGAGACAGAATTGCGTTATTTGGTGCATATCAGTGCATATCAGTGGCGTAAATTGGGATATTCGATAATTTCAGTGGGCATAATTCGGGACATTTGCAGTTCACACTTAATTCTTTTATATAAATAAATAATCTTGTTTATTTTTTAATTTATATATGTGTTCCCGCTAATTTACAATAATAACTTTTAATAAAATTTATAGTCTTACTTAACACCACTTTACTTTTTAAAAAGTAAACTCTCCAAAATTAATCTTTGCTTAAAAGAGTATAATTTGGTACGTACCTTATTTTTACCTTATCTTTCTTATCTTATTATCTACCGCATTTCATCAACATTCCTGTGTGTATGTATACAGCAGTATATATAAAGATTCGGAACTACCAGATATGCCAGTTGTAGACTAAACAGAGTGACGAAACAGTGGTACGAAATTTTACAAGATCTGTCATGTCTCGAGCGACCATCATCTTACTTGTTGTATTGGCAATATCTTTTATAGGTAAGTACATATTTAATTTGAATAATCACGTCATCGCGATATTTTCAGGAGACAGTATCAATTATGTTAAATATTGCTTTTATTTATCCTTTTAAACAATTTGCTGAAAAATTCACAAGAGTTAAGTATTAACATGGAATTTATCGCATTATTTTTACCAATGCAATTAATTTTAAAAAATACTTTTAGATACATCTGCCGACAAAATAGAATGTACTCGTCCACATGAACACTACGAGTGCGGTTCGGCTTGTCAAACGAGGTGCGACAACTTAGGCCAACCTTGTCCCATAATAAACATTGTTAGTATACACATATTTTCTCTTTATTGCTTTACTACTAAAATTCTTTGGAAAAAAGATCTGTAATTTCGGGTTTATACATGAAAGAATATATCTATAATCTACGAGTGAATAAATTAACATACTAAGGTAAAAGAATGAATTGGCCACAAACCAAGATGTGTGTGTGTGTGTGTGTATAGCTATATCATTATGTGAATATTTTTATTTTTCATCAACAATGTTATATATTTATTAACTTTCTTTCAGAGATGTAACGACGCTTGTTATTGCGATAAGGGGTTTGCAAGAAAAGGTGACGACAACTCGCCGTGCGTCCCCATACGCAAATGTTCATATGCGTAATACATGATGAATAAAAGCAGTCGCGTCTAACAGCGGACGTACATATATCGTCCTCCTTTCTTTTTTTTACTCTTGGCGCCTCTTCACGGAGCAGTCAAGAAAGTCCATAATTCAGATAACGTTTATTAATTAGTGTAACATTAATCTATGAAGAATTATATTAAATTAATAAATGTGTTTGAGTAGATAACAGGTGTAAAAGTTTCATTTCTTTCATTAAACATATTGTAATTATTTATGCTAAAAATAGACGAGATAAAATTGCGTTATTTGGTGCATATCAGTGCATATCAGTGGCGTAAATTGCGATATTCTATAATTTCAGTGGGCATAATTCGGGACATCTGCAGTTCACACTTAATTCTTTTATATAAATAAATAATCTTGTTTATTTTTAATTTATATGTGTGCTCCCGCTAATTTACAATAATAACTTTTAATAAAATTTATAGTCTTACTTAACACCACTTTACTTTTTAAAAAGTAAACTTTGCAAAATTAATCTTTGCTTAAAACAGTGTAATTTGGTACGTTTACCTTATCTATGTTTCATCGACATTCCTGTGTGCATGCATACAGCAGTGTATATTATATAAAGGTTCTCGAACCAGTCATGCCAGTTGTAGATTGAACAGAGTGAAGAGAGGTACGAAATTTTACAAGATCTATCATGTCTCGAGCGACCATCATCTTACTTGTTGTATCGGCAATATTTTTTATAGGTAAGTACATATTTAATTTGAATAATCACGTCATCGCGATATTTTCAGGAGACAGTATCAATTATGTTAAATATTGCTTTTATTTATCCTTTTAAACAATTTGCTAAAAAATTCACAAGAGTTAAGTATTAACATGGAATTTATCGTATTATTTTTATCAATGCAATTAACTTTAAAAAATACTTTTAGATACATCTGCCGACAAAATAGAATGTACTCGTCCACATGAACACTACGAGTGCGGTTCGGCTTGTCAAACGAGGTGCGACAACTTAGGCCAACCTTGTCCCATAATAAACATTGTTAGTATGCACATATTTTCTCTTTATTGCTTTACTACTAAAATTTTTTGGAAAAAAGATCTATAATTTCGGATTTATACATGAAAGAACATATCTATAATCTTCAAGTGAATAAATTAACATACTAAGATAAAAGAATGAATTGGCCACAAACTAAGATGTGTGTGTGTGTGTGTATGTGTGTATAGCTATCATTATGTGAATATTTTTATGTTTCATCAACAATGTTATATATTTATTAACTTTCTTTCAGAAATGTAACGACGCTTGTTATTGCATCGATGGATACGCAAGACGAAGTAACGACAACTTGTGCATCCCCATAAGCGATTGTCCTTCAGATAGTGAATAAAAGCAAATCGCGAAGCTGATTCTTTCGATTAATTTTAACTTTTGCTTTTGTTATTCGCTTTACCAAGAATTATTTCTTATAATGTCATGCGTATGAGTTATCTCTTCTGACATATTTTTCCGTATCTTTATGAAATATATCTTGTGCAAGTAACAGCTGCTTCGTTTTACACACACAAGCTATTATTATTTTCTACTTATTAATAGAAATTAATGTTGCACTACTTAAATTATTTTGAATTTTTCCTGAATAAGTTAATGTCTCGGTTATACTTTATCTTGTGAGTACACTTACACTTTGCTACTTTCTTTTCTCTCTCAGTGCCGAGATAAATATTGAAGAGGAGATTAAAAAACAAAAAAAGATAAAAACAAAAAAAAATAAAAAAGAATATTGTTTAAAAATTAATTTTACCACACGCATCTTACACTTTTTTCAATGCTCCAGTGAAATTTGTCAAGATCTCCTAAAAAGGCCAAATAATTTTCTCCCTGTTGTTATCATACATTATTATTATGCGTATTAGTATACATCACATCATGTCGGTGTTTCATAAAATAGCTATCTCATGCCTCAGTCGTTTAATAGGCACGAGAATACACAGTCCGCGCGTATTTCTTGGTAGACCGAGAGCGCGCGGATTCGAACGAAGCCATTCTTCCGGAATATTGTTCGCTAACAAGATAATAATACCCGACGCAGAGTACACACGACGGAAGTCGGGATCCCCGCCTTTCGCCGGGTTCGGCTTCGCGTTTGCTCTAAGCTGCTTTTCGGATTAGCAAAGCTTCCATAGTCGTTGTCCGTGTTACCGTCGGCGGCCCAGGCCGCCGAACGAGGTAACCGGTTCCACGTTCCGTACAAGCGCACAATCGCGCAAGTCAAACAATTCGAACCGGTGCCAAAGAGGTGCCCTAATATTTGGCCCCGTAATGTAATCCACGAAGAAGTTGGAAGAGGACGATGTGTTAGATGAGAATGCCTTGCGTTATTCTTCAATCTGTCCATTCGCGAAATATCGCGAGACAAAGCCCTGAAAACTACAAAAACTCTGGCTGCTCTGCGCAACAAAGTCACATTTAGCAGCGTATTTCACAATTAGAATGTGTCGGACAGTTTCGATTACGAAATCCAAGCTCGCGCGCGCGATTCCTGCGCCGTGTCGATCGGCATAGCGCCGCGGGCGATCGGCGAGCGATGCACGGGAGAATACGGGGGAGGGGGTACATTTAGTCGCAAAAATTTATGCCCACACGTCCGTTGTCGACGGGTGAATCGATTGTGGAAACATTAAAAGAAATGTCCGTTAATCTCCATTGAACCGAAGAATTGCGGATGTTTCAGATATCTGGTGATCTTTTCATATTTTTCTTCCGACGCTTTCATGTCTCGCATTATGACTGCAAGCGGATTGGAAATTCGCATCTTTATTTGACGGCTCTCGAATCTTTTAGATTATTTTAGATATTTTGACGCTGCTTACGTCTCAAGATTTATTTTCATAATTTGCACCGATAAATTAACATGCTTGACGTAATTATCTCTTTATAGTCAAATTACAGGCATTTAGAAGAATCAGAGACTGACGTCTTGTATTTACCGAGCGCGTGTTGCGCGCTCTTTTCAGCTTCTCGCTAATGCGTGCAATTCTGTACAACTTTTGCAAGCAAGTGTAGCTCGGATGTAACGCACACGTGGTGAATTCAGCCCGGGTTTCGCATGCCGCACGACACGTGCGACGATTGAAACCCTCTCGTGCCACGATGCTGAGAGAGAAAGAGAGGGGCGAGAGAGAACGAGAGAGAGAGAGAGAGAGAGAGAGAGAGAGAGAGAAGGGGAGAGAGCTTCGTTGACGTACATCGAGAACAAGAAGAGATGGACGCTGGTGCCTGAGGGGTTGCTCGAGTTGCTGCCGGCATTTGTTTAATTGGGAACCGACATGGTCGTCGTGGCACCCCTCTCGATCGACCGGCCGTTCCATCCACGAGTACTCTTCGAAATTCGCACGCACAGGAGAGAGCCGCTCGCAGAAACGCAAACATTTGCGCACGCTCGCTATCGTATCCTTAATTGTGGAAAATCGAGCGAACGGGGAGCGCACGAAAAATATCGTGAAAATATTATCTTGTGTATGTGCTGTGCCTTTTGGAAATAACGACGCGTCCCTCTCCTCTCCTACGCTGTCTCTACGCCCTCTCTCGCAGCTGTATCCTCGAAACTGTAGTATGTGCAGGCCCTCTACTTGAAGCGCACGTTCATACAACATTACGAGCTTACGGCCCTTTGTTAGTTTACGTGTCGTGCAAGCTGCTATCGAAGGCCTACACCGCGAAGGGGGATTGCGAAATTTTCTGTAACCAAACATGGCCGCCAGATCAACCCTCCACAAAGCAGCGCCGATGCGAAACTCCCGGCTGCCCCGCCGGAGGTCCCGTTGCAGGGAAACGAGGGTTGAATTCGAAATGGTGCTTGGAATACACGCTACGTATTATCGCGCGTATTATTATCGTGAGTTTCTTCCCGCCCGATCGTACCGCTGATTACGAAAGTGACGTCGTATAAACCACAGAGAGGAAAGAGCGAGTGTGAGACGCGCAACGTGTATAAAATGTGAAGGTTGCTTCGTAATGTTATAGTTATCGATGAAAATGAAAAACGCAATTCAATTGCTTCGATATGTTTCGCGAGGAAACAGCGGCAAATGAACTCCGGAATGAACTCGGGAATCAAAAATTAAGGAGATATTCAGTCCCCGAGGTGATTACGCAAGATTAGCCCAAATCGGACGGCCGAAAAAGGGGAGAAATTTTCATTCCCACAAGTAGCTCGTTATCGCGCGCTTTCCTTCTTTCCAGAGATCTCTCCGCTCTCCCGTCGTTTTCTTGCCGAAACGAGCGTTCATTCCCTGTACTGGCAAATCGATTGGAAAAATGATTGGGTTCCTCAAGTGTCCTGAATGGACAGACGGTCATTACCGAGTCCGCAGTGTGAGCGGAACGAGTTTGTTTCTTTCCTTCCTTTTTTTTTGTCGCTGGGACCTTGTACGCGCCAAATTAGTTAATATCCATCCGCGTCAGCAAAAAATAATCTGTTCAACAAATAACGCGGAAGTGGACGCGGTGATGAACGCTTATGACGTCAGTTTTTCCTTTAGTTTTGCATCACAATACATTCTGTTGCACATTTCAGCGTTACCCGCGCGCCGTGAATTTACATGATCGAAGTAGAGAAGAGTATTTTCTGTTTCGCCGGTCACATGCGTGATTGTTGATCACTTAATTGTATATAATAATGGTAGAGAGATCGTTGTGCTTTTTGACATAAATTCCGAATGACAACGATGTTTCTTCTCTCTTTTGCTTTCTTTCTCGTTGACAAAGCTCTTGAATCAATTCTGTCTCTCCTCCCCTCCCCTCTCTCTCTCTCTCTCTCTCTCTCTCTCTCTCTCTCTCGACGTGATCACGATCTTGGAAATGGCGATACATGACATTTACACTGCGCCTAACATTATCGCAGTGAGACACGCCACGCCTAGTGGCACACGCGCGACCAATAACTCACCCTAGCCTCGTACATCCTCGGGACTTTATCTGTGAAAAAGGGCGAACACATTTCGAATGTCGCACCGCTTCAGTCGGCAGCGCGAATACCAAAGCGGTGTCCGCTGCTTTTCACTTTTGACGAACACAATGCCGCGCAATTGAATATCAGAATTCAGCCGAAGAATGTATAATCTCACGCGATGAAAAATGCCACGGGAACGAAAGGAGGGACACGGAGAGGGCCGGAAGAGGGCAAGATTCTCTTCGTCCGAAATTGCACACAATTGTGTGTCGCGGAGAGCGGAGGCACATATTACGTATATTGCGCGCATATCTATCGGGCATAACTTGCAAACACTCAGAGCTCAACGTTCGTGTAGCCGAGGCTCGTGCTGAAGCGGATAAGAAAGGAGTAAACCCCGGGACAGCGGCCGGATGGAAAGCGGGAGAAAGATGGAAGGTCTGCGGAGAGAATGTTGCTCGGACGAGCGAAAATACGAGAGAGGCGGATCGTCGAGTCCTGCAATCGGAAACGCTCGTCGACGTCGCTCGCGAGTGTGCGCGAGGTGTGCCGAAAGAAGAAAACGCCGAGAGAAAGAGAGAGAGAGAGAGAGAGAGAGAGAGAGAGAGAGAGAGATTCTCGTCGAGCTCGCCTGTAATCCTGACGTTATTCGTCTCGATGTCGATTTAAACTGGCGAATAATCCCGGTGCGTCGATCCTTGTCTCTCTCCCCGCGCGGAGGGAGAGACGCGATATAACGGGTCGAGGATGGCGAGAGGGTTAACGGCGGCCGATCCGGTTTTCAATGGGCGATCGACGAGAATTTAAAAGCGCTCGCCGGCGTATACACAGCCGCTCTCATAAATCCGCGTATTTCGGACAGGCCGGATCGCGAAACATCGGGGATTAAAAAGCGCGCAGCCGAAAATATCTCCTCCCTCGTGTCGGCCGCAGCCTGGCTCTCCGCGCTGCACCCACTGTCGAAGCTGCACAGCGAAACTCGCTCGGATCACCTACGCGCCGGCGGAAGATTCGACGAGGTCGCTCGAATTGCCGTCGTTCCGATCGACATTCGACTGCGGCGGGACTGGATTATCAATTCCTCTTGTTTATGCGCGCCGAAACGCTCGCGCGATTTCTGTCACACCTTTATATGAAATTCTCGGTGTTGACGTGCTGACGTGAAAATAACAGAAGGATATTCGTTTTGTGCCAGACACGTGGCGAATGAATTCCGACAAAAGGCGTGGAAAATTTCCAATTTCGGGGGCAACGTGTCGCCGGCGATATAATCGAGGACGAGTCTGCCGGGAGACCCAATATGTTGCGCGCCGCGCCGCGCCGCGCGATCAGCCGATCCTCCGGGAAACGTAATTATCGCGGGACGCGTCTCGCGTTAATCGTCGCAACGTGTGTAGCGGCCAATTCCACGAAGGGACGAGGCGAGCGTGTCACGGCCGTCGCGAAAGAAATTCAAACGTCGCGTAAGATGGATCGACCGGCCGCTCCTTCTCCGTTAAGTCGATAACACATGCCTTTCCTCACGGTGTTATTAGAGAGAGAGAGAGAGAGAGAGAGAGAGAGAGAGGGAGAGAGCCGGGCGACGAATGAATCACGCATCGACTTAATCGCGTTAACGATAAACGCCTCTCGCCTCCAAAGACCCCTCCGGCTGTGGAT